CTGTTGCGGAGGCGGTCAACCATGCATATACGGACCAGGACGCATACATCAGGGGTAGTATGACTCTGATTTTAGACCAATTCCAGGTGGTCTTCGAGCAATTGTCTCTCATTTTTTGGCTATTTACTTGCAATACGGCGACGGGTCCGTTGAATTTCTCCTCATGGGAAGATAGGTTCAAGGCTGAATTATTTCGTCAACCATGGTCGGGGGATACGGTGTTCAGTGGGGCTATTGCTGAAATCGCATCCAAGGTGGACCGTATTACCAATTTCAAGTATCTGTTGATCTCTTGGAATTGCAAAAGATTCAGCTCCAAGATTCTATTCGGCATCGCCGAACCGCACAATTTACCCCTTCCAACCCAGACCTCCGGGACTGTATGAAAGGCACGGCGCCTTCTCAAGCACGTGGCAGAGGCAGGAGGCCATTTCGTGGTTCTGCATCACGTCGCCCCTATCGACCCGACACGGGAACTGGCCATAGACAGTCCAAACAGTGACTCACGGAAGTCAGAGCTCGGATTGGTTCTGCCGGATCCGGTGGTTCCAGTGTTCGATTCCCCTGTAGGAGGGAGGTTAGGTCTGTTTGCTCCCAACTGGGAGGTTCTGGGAGATCCTTTTGTCACAATGACTCTCATTCACGGCTATCGACTGCCTGTGGTCGGGGATCCACCCCTCACCACTCAACCCTTGCAGCAAATATATCCTCTGGATCGGGCTGCAGTCCTTTCAACTACAATCCAAACTCTACTGGAGAAACATGCAATAGAACACCTAGATCAGGTGTGCATAACTCCAGGATTTTACTCCCCGATTTTTCTGGTGCCAAAGAAAAACTCCAGCAAGTTGCGTCTCATCTTCAATATGAAGACATTCAACGCTCGATTCCTGCAACAACCACCTCATTTTCGCATGGTATCGGTCAGTCTTCTCCGCTCAATTCTGAAGAAAGGGGATTTCCTCATATCCCTAGATCTTCAAGACGCATACCTGCACATTCCGATTCACCCAGATCATCGGAAATATCTAAGGTTCACCTTCGGGGGCCATCACTACCAATGGAACGTCCTTCCATTTGGAATCTCTACGGCCCCGTGGCTTTTTACTCGGGTGACCAAACCCATCAGCAGTTTCCTACATTCTCGGGGAGTGACTTTCGAAAGCTATATCGACGATTGTATTCAGGCACAACAGGATCCAAACGTTCTTCAAATCCATCGGGAGTTCACCATCAGGCTGCTCAAACAGTTAGGGTGGCTCCTCAATTACGAGAAGTCGGAGTTAACACCGACTCGCAGACTTCAGTTCATAGGAGCAATCTTCGACACAGAACAAGCCAAGTTGTTTGTTCCCCAGGACAGGTGGACCAAAATTCAGCGTCTGGTTCCGCTAGCCTTGGATCACCCCAGAACTCTACGCCAGTGGCAGGAGTTGTTGGGCGTCTTAACGTCAGCTCAGGCTCTGACTTACAGAGGTCAACTGCAGCTTCGCCCACTTCAGTTATTTCTGCGCCCTCATCTTCAAACCAACAACCCTCAGGTGTTGATTCGGTTACCCAGGGAACTACGTCCAATTCTACGTTGGTGGCTCAACGTACAGAATGTTTGCGCCGGCGTCTCTTTGGTGCCATTCAGTCCAACCCATCAGTTGTTTGTGGACGCCTCTCTAGAAGGTTGGGGCGCCCACTTCCTTCAGCATCAAGTGGCAGGGCAGTGGTCGTCCGAAGACAAGTCACTCCACATAAACATTCTGGAGTTCAAGGCAGTATTACTGGCGATTCAGCACTGGGCGGCTCTACTCAAGATGTCTCACCTGCTGATACAGTCCGACAACTCGACGGTAGTGTGGTACATCAATCACCTAGGGTCGACGGGTTCAGCAGCACTCCTACAGTGGACGTTTCGTTTCTATCTTCTGATAGATTCTCTCAACATCGTCGCAAGAGCCAGGCACATTCCCGGAACAAAGAACGTGATTGCCGACGCTCTGTCTCGTTCCAGTCGCCCGTCGCCCACAGAGTGGCAACTCCTGCCCAAGATTTTTCGGACGATAATTTACCCGATCTCTCGACCGAGTGTCGACCTGTTTGCCACTCGGTTCAACTCCCAACTGCCGAGATTCGTATCTCCAATTCCAGATCCACTAGCTTGGGATCACGACGCCGTGGCCATTCCTTGGGAAGGCCTCAACGCTTATGCGTTTCCACCTCCGGCTCTACTTCACATGGTCATTCAGAAAATTCTGTTAACCAACAAAGTACAACTACTTTTGGTAGCGCCATTTTGGCCAGCGAGAAGTTGGTTCGTCGGCCTAAAAAGTCTAGTCAGTCGAAGCAGCATTCCTCTTCCCGTGTGGGACGACCTACTAGTTCATCCGCACTCGGGCGTGTATCACGAGTCACCACAGACGTTCAATCTTCACGTATGGCACATTTGCAGAAATCACTAATAGCCAAAGGTTATTCTCACAGAGTGGCCTCAGCTATCACTGCAGCTCATCGTACGTCTACCCGTTCTTTGTATGACTATAAGTGGAAGAAATTTGAATGTTATTGTCGGGTCAGAGGGATCGCTTCCCCTACTACTGCTTCGCCCCAGGTTGTTGCGGAATATTTACAACATTTGCGGGCTACAAGGAAACTCAAGGGTTCCACTTTAGCCACCTACTTGGCGGCTCTTAATTCGGTCCTAGCCACGACTTCTGGTACGAAGGTTTCGACGGTACCGGAACTGCAGTACTTACTTCGTTCTTTTAAGCTAGCCGACCAATCCAGGAAATTTCGTCCACCAGCTTGGGACTTATCCGTGGTCCTGCACCACTTAGTGTCCGAGCATTATGAACCCTTACAGGACAAGGAGTTTGAACAAGTTTCATTCAAGACCTTTTTTCTTATTGCCTTGGCCACAGCGGCACGTATATCAGAACTGCATGCTCTAGATATCAACCGTGTCCGTTTTGAACAGAGTAGACATGGCAAGGTATTGTTGGGATTGCGCTGGGATTTTATTGCAAAAAAACAGTTGCCGGGTCAACCTGATCGTCTTTTTACAATCCCGCCTTTGTCTACCATATTGGGTCCAGCAGATGTTGAAGATCTGTCTCTTTGTCCAGTCAGAGCACTTCGCATTTACCTTAAAGCATCGCAAGAGCGCCGCCGTCTGCGTAAGAGGCTATTTATACCCTTGTCTACGGCTTCCAAGGCGGAAGTTTCTCGCACAACACTCTCATATTGGCTACGAGCTACAATACTACGAGCCTACACTTTTGCCGGTTTGCCACCACCTACGGCAGTCAACCCTCATGAAACCAGGGCTTTGGCTTCTACTATGGCGTTGCATAGCAACTGCTCGTTAACTGCCATAATGGAGGGGTGTTTTTGGCGATCTGACACGGTATTTTCGTCTCATTACCTCAGAGATGTGTCGGTGACGGATATTCAAGGCCTTCATCAGTTTGGACCACTCGTCCTTGCCCAGCAGTTATCAGCGGCACAACATCGCAGATAATGAACTTTCTTGTGCTCCGATGCTATATGGATCCCACTGTGCAGTTGATCCCAAGTCGCGATCGTTTCTGCTTGTGTACAATCTGAATAAATCTGAAAACTTTTTCTGATTTACGTCTTTATTTCTTCCGGGATTTAGATTTTCTCCTCTCATTTGTTTGAGACTACAGAGAGTCGCCACCTCACTTACTGTCCTCTGCTCCACGGAGTAATTAAGTCAGTGAAGTGAGTCCTTCCCGAAGTGTTACACTTCGTAGCGTTCATGCTCCTAAGTGCCTATACACATCTATGTGATCTTATTGTGGTAAGTAATGGAAGTCATAAGATGATGTTGTGGTACTGAACGTTAAAAATTGTGAGTTTTACCGATTCAATTTCTCTTTCACCCTCCTCGGGACGGTGTCTGTGGGGGTTGTTTCGAAGCAGGGGCTGGCCCGATACTAGTCGTTTGACTTTTATTACGGGGGTACCTTGGAAATCGTGGCGATGCGACTGATTACACTCGTTAAGCTACGTCCTTTCACTTAGTGAAGGTAGTGACTGAACACCACATTGCTCGGGAATCTCGGTCCCTGGGAGCAATTGTGCTTAATAAGTCAATGGGTTCGACCTAACCCTCGCACGTAGTAACTTGGTAGTTATTGCCCTACCTTGCAGTTGCTTCCTACGGTTGTTTGGGCGTAACACTAGCTGTTATCGCTTGAATTCCGGGTAATCTATGACCCACCTTCCTACCGTGGGATAAGTGCAAGTCGTGAGATAGGATAAGTTTAAAAATTTGAAAATTTTAACTATAAATTGTATATTTATATACTTATCCTATCTCACGACTTGCACCTCTCTCTCTTCATTCGACCATGAGTGGAAACGAATTAAAACTTTGCTCCAAGGCCTACCTTGCCCCTCTCCCGTGCTGTGCGTGCCTTCTGTGTCAGTCGTGCTCACTAGTCCATGACAGCACGAGGCATGCGCAGTCCTCACCCACGTGATCACCTCACATACTCATTCTCGATCTTGGAGCCATAAAAGGACAAAACCGGAACGGTGGTAATCTATGTAGTGGGGAGGTAGGGAGGGACTTTATCGCGTGAGATAGGATAAGTATATAAGTAATTTCAAAAAATTGCCCTTGGATTCAGGTGGTGCTTAATTAATACTCACGTGTAAATGTGATCGTCACACAGTGTGACAGAGTATTGAATATAGACGGCCAGTCGTACAATATAAAATATAGACGGCCAGTCGTACAATATAAAATATAGACGGCCAGCCGTACAATATAAAATATAGACGGCCAGTCGTACAATATAAAATATAGACGGCCAGCCGTACAATATAAAATATAGACGATAAACCCCTCCATAAACACTACTGATTATCCTCTTTCAAATATGTCAGTATCATTTGGTATGTCCATCCTAAAGTCTACTTTCCTTGAAACAGCATTTTCTTAGAACAGCAGTGATTAATATCTAATGTTTTTTATTCCACAGCGCAGCAAGTTTTAGTTAGTCCAACATCCATCCAATCAGTTAACCCAACACTCACCCAATCAGTTAACCCAACACCCACCCAATCAGTTAACCCAACACCCACCCAATCAGTTAACCCAACATCCATCCAATCAGTTAACCCAACACCCACCCAATCAGTTAACCCAACACCCACCCAATCAGTTAACCCAACATCGATCCAATCAGTTAACCCAACACCCACCCAATCAGTTAACCCAACACCCACCCAATCAGTTAACCCAACATCGATCCAATCAGTTAACCCAACACCCATCCAATCAGTTAACCCAACACCCACCCAATCAGTTAACCCAACATCCAATCAATCAGTTAACCCAACAACTAGCCAATCCATTGATCCGACATCAAGCCAGTCAGAGTTACGATCATCCATGTCTGCAACAACAGCTTCTAAACCACTGTCATCGGCGCCCCTGTACACAACATCCGCCACCACGGCGACACATACGACTTCGACAGCTGCAGTTACTGTGGATAAGTATGGACGAACGCGCCGGATGACGTGTGTCTGTCGATGTGTGGACTTCCGGCGACGGAACCTGACGCTGGAGCAGCGACTGGCGGACCTCCACGTGGGGGTTGAGAGGGGGACCCTGTATATCCGCCGACTTGAGAAGACGAGTGCAGCAGACCACCGGGTGTCCTCCATGAGTGTGGGACTCATGGGAATACTCCTGATGGTATTCATGTTCGGGGCGATGCTCATTCCCGATATGCTAAGCCTGGTGCGAGGTGGACTTAATCGAAGTGATTGATACAAGTGCCAACGGTTGTTAACTGTCAATAGGATAAAGTCTACATTTGTCGTGGGGCACAAGGTGTTCCTTGTCGCTGAAGGGTTGTGGGGTGGGGACTTGCAGCAAACAACTTAATAGTTGTGGGTTTTACTATTTTACCGTTGTTTTGTTGAATTTGTTCTAACTTTTTCTATACAATGTTGGTACGGAACTCTTGACGTTAAATGTAAATCTTATCTTCATAGAATTGTTTCACTGGCTAGCAAAATGTCAGGTGCTAAAGTGGATGATAAACCACTCCAGAAGGATTAATTCCTGAAGATGACCTCTTACCATCCGATACTCAGTGCCACGTTTTAAAACTAATAGATTTAGAAACTCTTTTGAACCATCTAGTATTAGGCTCCTAAATGATTGCTAGATTTTGTTTTACCTCCGCGTTCTATGTACATGTATGTGTCATGTTTCTTATTGTATTCTATAGCGCACTTTCAAATGTAAAAAAGAATTCCCTCCTGTGGGTAATAAAGTATTGTCATTGTCAAGTTATGTCTTCAAGAATCACAGCACTGTACATGGTAAATTATAAAACCAATGAGAGAATTATCGAAATTAATGCGAAATATGGGAATGTCCTAGCTGGAGTTACTGTAGTGAAGCTTTAGTGGAAGATGTTTGTCTGGGTAAGCTGAACTATGTTGTCATGCTGGACAGAGTGGCGGAGTTGGGTCTAACTCTACTAACTGTTGTATGTATTACAACTTTGTGTGGAAGAAGGAATGCAGGTCTGAGACGTCTACCACACGTTCATATAACAAAGTTAACAATAAGATTATCTAGTGGGACACAGGGAGCGACATGGTTGTACTGGATATTTATCTCATGGCTGCAATATATGACTCTGATCACATAGCAGTAACACTGCTGACCCTGGTTACAGAGCTGCAACTCTGCTGACCCTGGTTACAGAGCTGCAGCGCTGCTGACCCTGGTTACAGAGCTGTAACTCTACTGACCCTGGTCATGCTGTTGTAATATTGCAACATTTGTGATTCACAAGCTATGAAATAGCCAATAATAATTTATTAATAATTAGTATAGGAAAGTGACATCAATATCTATTTGACTGAAATCAGCTGTGTAATGAATTGATAGTACATTTTGAATTTTAGCCAGTCCTGATCAGTATTCCAATCAATGTTACAAACTGTGACTACAGGTTGAGTATACAGGATCGAGACTTACTATCACTTGAGACCAATAAAGTAGCCTTCATTTATCATAACACGAAAATAATGAAGTACAAGACTTTAAATACAGAAACAAATCTAGATATATCAAACATTGCTTCTGGAGGTGATTATGCATTCGGAACACACCTGGGATGAGGAACAAATAGAGATCAGCAGAGGTTGCATTTGTTAGTAGGTTGTTATTCCTGTAGCAAATTAGGACTGCTTGCAGACCACATGGGTGCTGAATGAGCAAGCTTCATAATGAGTGAACTGAACCTAGCATATCCTGGCATCAGAAAGGGAAGCAACTCTTCTATGAATATTCCAGCACCTTGTTCTGCTTTTGCCACCTTAACAACGCTGCAAACCCAAGAGAGCGATGCGACAAAGATGTTGCCATTCGTCCATGAAAAAAATCACATCCCCTGGAAAAATCTTGTTTATTACAAATATCTGCATTTCAAAAACATAAACTTCAACAAATACTATATATGAAACAAGACACTTGGAACATTAATACATTTATATTGATACATGTACCAGGCTTCTATAGGATGAGGTGTGGAGACACAAGTCAGACAGGGTACACTTCACCGACTCATCACTGATTATGTGAACAGTCAGACAGGATACACTTCACCGACTCATCACCAATTATGTGAACAGTCAGACAGGGTACACTTCACCGACTCATCACCAATTATGTGAACAGTCAGACAGGATACACTTCACCGACTCTTCACCAATTATGTGAAGTCAGACAGGGTACACTTCACCGACTCATCACCAATTATGTGAACACAGTCAGACAGGATACACTTCACCGACTATTCACCAATTATGTGAACAGTCAGACAGGGTACACTTCACCGATTCATCACCAATTATGTGAACAGTCAGACAGGATACACTTCACCATCACCAATTATGTGAACAGTCAGACAAGGTACACTTCACCAAGTCATCACCAATTATGTGAACACAGTCAGACAGGGTACACATCACCGACTCATCACCAATTATGTGAACAGTCAGACAGGGTACACTTCACCATCAGCAATTATGTGAACACAGTCAGACAGGGTACACTTCATCAGCAATTATGTGAACAGTCAGACAAGGTACACTTCACCGAGTCATCACCAAATATGTGAACACAGTCAGACAGGGTACACTTCACCGACTCATCACCAATTATGTGAACAGTCAGACAGGGTACACTTCACCATCAGCAATTATGTGAACACAAATCAGTTGGGTAGTCAGGATTGCCTGTTCACCGTGAGGTTGAATGTAAGTTAGTTTGGCAAGTGTTGAGGTAAGGCACTGTCTATCAACATCTCTTGCAAATAAAGAGTTTGTGTCGAGGCAACTGAGGGGTTGATGTATGGTGCTGGGAGTTTTAGGCCTTTTTTCTCTTTGTAAATGCATTGTTGCATGTATTTGGAATACATCCCTTCAGTCAGTTGAGATTTTGTATGTTTTTATCTGGTGCTACAGTAGTAACACCATCACCAAACTTATTTCCTTATTTTCTCCATAACGTCATTTTCAATCTTAGTGAACATAGTTCTCAGCTATTATTGGCCCGATTTGAATGAAATTTTGTTTACATATAGGCAAGTGATTACTTTATGCAATAACAGAGGGACTTTTTGAATTTTTTTGCCTTTTATATTAGTCAAAATCAACATAAATAAACTTAAAATATAATAACAGACATTGCACCCTACACCCAACCCCCAAGCTGTCAAGTTGTCATTATATACATATCTTTATTAGTCTCAGAGAAAACTTTCACTAATTTTCATCTTTTTCAGGCTTGCAGCGGCCATCTTGGATATTTCCATGGCAATCGGCGGCAATACCACCTGGAAAAGACTCTTTTTCAAATGTTAACATGCATACCTCTAAGTTGTAACTAATTAAAACCAAGACATACACCTGAAGCATTTTGTCATTTGTCACTAGCAGTGTCTGGCCTTAAACAGTGTTTTCAACACTGAGTGAGTGGGTAAGTGAACTGGAGACTGTCATGTGTTTTCAACACTGAGTGAGTGAGTGAGTGAGTGGACTTGGTTTTGTGACTTGAAATAGCATGTCTGTCACATGATAATATGCCAGCAAAATGACAAAACTCAAATGGTTGTAAAACTTGCAAAACTATAAGAAATATTGCTACAATTTCATACAATCTGTCAGAAGCAATAGGAATCGACTATGTAATTTCATTTTATGACATAAAACATAGTAGGCTGAGTAGCTGACACTTACAGGGCTGACACTGATGTCAAAGTTGAACAACATGGTGTAACAATCAGATATGCTGTCACAGTATAACTACTCACAACAAGAAGACAAAGTCATCAATATCCCCCGCAATGGCAAAATACTCTTCATGATTATGTCTACGAGTTATGATTATGTCAAATATTTAGGTGTGTATATAGAAAAGTGGAAGGAGAGCATTGAAAGGTTTTTAAAGTTCTGCTCCAGAAAGGAGCACTATCACCAATTTCAGTCTATGTCAAACTTGTTGCCATGGAAATGCCAAAAATATTTTATTCAGAAATCCAAAACTACCAAAAGGCACCAGTACACCACCAGATCTATGTATGTGCCAAGTTTGGTGAAGAAACATTGAACAGTTTTAGAGTTCTGCTCCGGAAAAGTGTACTACCACCAATTTCAGGCTAAGTCAAAACTTGTTGCCACAGAAACGCCAAAAATATTTTATTCAGAATCCAAAACTACCAAAAGGCACCAGTACACCACCAGACCAATCTATGTGCCAAATTTGGTGAAGAAATAGTGAACAGTTTAAGAGTTCAGCTCCGTAAAAGAGCACTACCACCAATTTCAGGCTAAGTCAAACTTGTTGCAATGGAAATGCCAAAAATATTTTATTCAGAATTCCAAAACTACCAAAAGGCACCAGTACACCACCAGATCTATCTATGTGCCAAGTTTGGTGAAGAAATAGTGAACGGTTTTAGAGTTGTGCTCATGAAAAGACAAATGTGCACGGAAGGACGGACAGACGGGCTGACGGACGGACGCTTTGCGGGGGATAATCAGATATGCTGTCATAGTATAAGGACTCGGTCAGATATGCTGTTTACAATACAATGACTCACAATCCACCTAATGACTATTTCTTGAAAGGCACAAAGTGGACGGACTGTATTTTCCTTTAAGCAGCAAACAACGGAATGCACTATATCACATACATGGCTCATTGTACAGAACAGGGGGAAGTGGGGGAGCCTAGTGATTAAAGAGTTTACTCGTCACGCTGAAGACCCGGGTTCGATTCCCCACATGGGTGCACTGTGTGAAGCCCATTTTTGGAGTCCCCCGCTGAGATATTGCTGGAATTTTGCTAAAAGTGGCGTAAAACTAAACTCACTCACCGGCTACAGGACGGAATGAACTATATGACATACATGGCTCATCCTACAGGATGGCACCTATATAACACAGACATTGATGGTTACAATAATCATACATAGGGAAAGTTAACTTTCTGCACAGGTATGGACAAACATATGGATGGAAGCCAGGGAAATGAAGTGGACCTAATGTACAGGTGGAGGGAGATGGTTGTCTTGTTGTATAGAGGTGGTCCTATTGTATATGTGGAACAGAGATGGGTGGTCCTATTCTATAGAGATGGTCCTATTGTATCGAAGTGGTCCCATTGTATATGTGGAACAGAGATGGGTGGTGCTATTGTATAGAGGTGATCCTATTGTATAGAGGTGGTGCTATTGTATAGAGGTGGTGCTATTGTATAGAGGTGGTATAGAGGTGGTCCTATTGTATAGAGTGGTCCTATTGTATAGAGGTGATCATATTGTATAGAGGTGGTCCTATTGTATGGAGGTGGTCCTATTGTATAGAGGTGGTCCTATTGTATAGAGGTGGTCCTATTGTATAGAGTGGTCCTATTGTATAGAGGTGATCATATTGTATAGAGGTGGTCCTATTGTATGGAGGTGGTGCTATTGTATGGAGGTGGTCCTATTGTATAGAGGTGGTCCTATTGTATAGAGTGGTCCTATTGTATAGAGATGGTCCTATTGTGTGTGTGGAACAGAGATGGGTGGTCCTATTGTATAGGTGGAACAGAGATGGGTGGTCCTATTGTATAGGTGGAACAGAGATGGGTGGTCTTATTGTATAGGTGGAACAGAGATGGGTGGTCTTATTCTATAGAGATGGTCCTATTGCATAGAAGTGGTCCTATTGTATATTGTGGTATAGGATGAATGTAGTGAACATATACATGCAGAACAGACATCACGGGGGCATCACTAGGACATCACCAGATATGACATCGCTTATCAACACTAGGTAGTCATTAGACACCATTATTGCATCACTAGACACCACCAGGGCTCACTAGACACCAAGATTAACAAGTTGCATTTTACAAAATGCAGGAACTTAACATTAGCAAGCTGTGGATAGTCAGTTCAACAACTAATTATGAAACAGACTGGCTTCGCCCAAAGCAATTCCTTTTCATGGTAGTCAATCTCACTACAGGCCGACAGTGTACTCCTGCACTCGGTCCTCACCACAACAGGCCCCTGTCATCAATACCCAGCTTCTTCTGCAGTTGAAGGGTCGACTGTCGGAACTGTTTCTCCAGGGAGCTCATCTCCTGTAGCTCTTGGTCAAACTGCTCCACACACGGTGGCGGCTTCGTCACAGCATCAATCCGCTGCTGTAGCTGGGCCGCTCGTGTCCGTGCTGCAAGCTGCTCTGCTGACGGCTGCTTCCGGGTGCTCACCTCAGACTCTGGTTTCATCTGAGGTTCTTGTACTGGTGCTGGCTCTTCGCTCTTATCTCGTGCAACTGATTCTGCCTCACTGAAAGAAAACCGTCTGTGGCCTTGGTCTCTGCGTTGCTGTCTGACGGTGGCGCTGTGTACACGCTGCTTGTCTGTGCCGCTGTGTCGCCTCTGTCTCAGCTGGCTGCCATTTTCCCTGGAGGGTACGGGTCGAGTTGTCTCGTACTTCAGTGGTCGCTCAAACCTCTGGGTGATAAAAGCTGCAAACAAACATGTAATTGTTTTTATTAAAATTGATATTTTATACTTATCCTGACTCATACTTAATTGCTTGTCTCCTTCTTGCGAATGATAGTGGAACACTTGAATCCCCTTTTGAAGCTCCTTTAAAAAAAGCGGACGTAAAATCACTCACCCAGTGTTATCTCCATTTAGATGTTTTGGCGGGAAAATCCGTCACATGACCCTACATGCTCTTCTCTCTCTCCGAATTATACGCCCGACACCTGGATTTCAGAGAATCCAGAGTGCCATGAGGGGAGGTTGGGATTTCTTACCTCATGAGTCAGGATAAGTATAAAATATCAATTTTAATTAAAAAAAATACATATTTTTCCTTATCCTGACTCATGCTTAATTGCTTGTAGAATCCAATGGAATCGGTGGTGGGTCAAGCCACTCTGGATTCATTGCTGATTTACGTCCTGCATACCCCCCCTGAGGGAACTTCTTATAGTACTGTGCTGATCCTTTCTTCCAACTTCCTCTGATGAGTTTGGGGGGACCACAACTTGTCAGATTTCTCTGGAACCGCTTCTCCTGACATTAAGTGTGGATTTATACGACTCCATCTCTTGATGCTCGCATCAAGTGGAGAAGCGACCCTTCATCATATACAAGTAAGTCCTTACAAGTACAGGGTCTATCACTCATGCTGGCCTGTCCTAGACGTGCGCATGGACTCTAAGCTCTAGCTCTTCCGAGCGTTGGCTTTTACAAGTCACGTGATAAAAGGGTGAGATTCATCTCAGCGCCTTTGAGGAACTGTCAATTGTTGTGCTACAACAAGAGGCCCAAACTGGTGAATGCCGGAGACGTCCTCGGTATCAATGTCTCTGAGGTAGTGGTTGGCAAACACCATCTCTGACTTCCAATAGCAGCCCTCCATTATTGTCGAGATGGAGCAGTTTCCATGTAGAGCGAGTGTCGATGCCAGCGCTCTGACTTCATGAGGATTGGAGGCTCGTGGATGATCAAGTCCTGCTGCTTTGTAGGCCCTTAGGATGACGGTTCTCATCCATATTGATATCATTGTACGTGAGATCTCTGTAGGCGTCTCCGTAGATAGAGGGATGAAAAGGCGCTTAAATTTTTGTCTCTTCGTCTTAGACCTTTGTAGGTAGACTTCCAATGCTCTGACTGGGCATAAGGATAGATCCTGAGTATCCTGTGGCCCAAGGACTGCCAAGAGTGCTGGGATGTGTAATTGTCTGTCTGGTTGACCGGGCAGTTGGTTCTTTGCTATGAAGTCCCATCTCAATCCCAGATGTATGATGTTGCGATATGCATCAAATCGTATTCGTTCAAAGACCAGAGCATGTATTTCTGACATCCGAGCTGCTGTTGCCAAGGCGACCAGGAACAGAGTTTTATGTGTTAGAAACTCATAGGATGTCCTTTCCAGTGGTTCGTAAACGTCACTGGTGAGATGCTGCAAGACTACATTGAGATCCCAAGTAGGCGCTTTAAATTTCTTTTGTTGGTCTTCCAACTTAAAGGAGCGTAGTAGAGCCAGTATCTCTGGTACTTTGGTCAGCTTGACACCCGTCTTCATGGTGATAACCGTGCTGAGGGCCGCTAGGTATGTAGAGAGTGTTGAACCTTTTAACCGCCTCGTTTGTCTTAAATGACAAAGGTATTTCGCCACTTGAGGATGTGTTGCTTTCATCGCCGTGAAGCCCTTCCTCAATGCATATTTCTCAAAACTCTGCCACTTGTCGTCGTACAAGCTGCGGGTTGATCTACATAGAGCTAGTGTGACTGCGTTCGCTGCTCTGGCGGAATATCCTCATTTCTTCAAGCAAGTTTTGATACGTTCCATGCGTGTAGTTGGAATACTGTTGGATTTCCGTGTACTTGCTTGGTGTGCGGATGAAATAGTAGGTTCGGCCACTCTGGGAGTTGCAGGGTTGGACTTCCGAGTTCTTGTATGAGGATGGGAAACCACACCTTCGCTGGCCAGTAGGGCGCGACCAAAATCAGTTGCAGCTTCTTCTCTTGATTGTCTGCAACACCTGCGATATTAGAGCTGGAGGTGGAAACGCATAAGCGTTTAGTCCTTCCCAGGAGATGCTTAGAGCATCTATTGCCCATGCTTGTGGATCCGGTCTATCAAATGGGTCTATCAGCGGAGATCCTATCCTCTGTATGATGCATCTGAATGCTTCTGGATGTAACATCCATTCCGTTGGGGATGGTTGTGTTGGACGAGATAGGGCGTCTGCTATCACATTCTTGGCCCTGGGAATGTGACATGCTTTTAAGTCGACGTTCAGGTTGTTTATTATGCTGAACAGATGAAAGCTGAGGTCTAGAAGATTTCTTGACCTTGTTGATCCTTGTTTGTTGATGTAGAACGCCACTGTGGAGTTGTCCGTATGGATCATCAGTTGTGCGTTCCTTAGTATGCTGGACCAGTGTAGTAAGGCGTTTATTACTGCTTTCATCTCGAGCATGTTGATGTGCAGACTTTGCTCCTGACTCGACCATTTCCCTGCTGCCACTTCGTTGTCGAGGTGGGCTCCCCATCCTTGAAGTGATGCATCTACGTAGAGATGTGTGTTGTACTTCGGCTCTCCTGACTCGACCATTTCCCTGAAGTGGGCTCCCCATCCTTGAAGTGATGCATCTACGTAGAGATGTGTGTTGTACTCCGGCTCTGATAAGTAGGTTCTTCCGCAAACATTCGACTTCCGAGTCCACCACAGAAGATATGGTTTCAGTCCGTCCGGTAGTCCGAAGGAGTCCAGACTGTCTAGATGAGCGTTCACGAACACGTGTAGTGGGTGCAGTTGTAGTCTTCCTCTGCGTGTCATGTCTTGTGCTGACGTGAGAAGACCAAGTAGGCTCTGCCAACTTCGTAGTGGTAACGGAGAGAGTAGTGCTTGAGATATCATTTGTTGTATCTTGACCCAACGCTCCTCTGGGACGACTATACGATTCTGCGATGTGATGAGCCGAATTCCTAGGAACTGCAGGTCCTGTGTGGGTTCTAGTTCCGACTTGAGGAGATTTACTAGCCATCCTAGTTGTGTGAGTAGCCTGATTGTGAAGTCTAGCTGCAGTCTGAGTTGACTGGGATCTTGATGAGCTTGAATCCCGTCGTCCAGGTAAAACGCACTGCGTAGACCTCGATGATGTAGATATGTGATGATTGGCTTTGTCACGCAAGTAAACAACCAGGGGCCCGACGATATTCTAAATGGTAGCACCTTCCATTGGAAGTGAGTCCGTTGAAGAGGAATCGTAGGTATTTCCTTGAGTCCGGATGTATCGGGATGTGAAGATACGCATCCTGTAGATCTATGCTGGCGAGGTAGTCTAACGGACGTACGAGTTGTCACAGTTGAGGAAGATGTATCATTCTGAACTTTGCGGGACTGCGTAGATAATCTTGGTTGAATTTCCTCATGTTGTAGATAAGTCGGAACTTTTCCCTGGAATTTTTCTTTGGTACTAAGAAGATTGGGGAGTAAAAACCGGGCGTGACGAGCTCCTGTTTTATTTCTTCGATCGCCTCCTTCTCGAGTAGAGGTGTGATGGTGTCGAGTAGGTTCTCCATCTGGTCGGCAGCATAGTTGTGGGCCAGAGAGTTGCTTGTCAATGGTGCTACTGCTTGTAGTTGTATCTTGTATCCTCTGTGTAGGATCTGGGATACGTAGTCGTCCTGAAGAATTCCCCAATTCTTCCAGTAGCGTTGTAGACGTCCACCCACTGTCGAAGGTTGTATGGGAACGGCTGGGGATGGAAGACTCCAGTCGTTCCGAACCTGTCCTTCAGCGTCTAAAGTTCTTGGCACCTCTGGGTGCCCTGCCTCTTCCGGGGTTACCTCTGGGAGCTCCGGTCGGGCGATGAAAAGAATCCTTGCCTCCTCTGGAATTGCCGTATTTCTTTTCCCTGGCTCTCTGTATCCCCGTAAACTTCGACTTGCCGGAGTAGCGTTGCGACGTCTGACGGATAACACTGGCTAGTGTATCGATGGACTTGATCATCATTACCTCCCTTGACTCTTTTGTTACTTCCTTGGCCACGTCCTCAATTTCCCCTGCGAAGATAGATGATGCTGACCACGGAGCTCTGTATAGTGACTTGGTGATGCGCTCACTCCAACTACAGGATGACAGCAATCCTTGTCTTCTCAAGAGCATCAGGCCTGCTGATGTGGATGCCAGATGTTCGGACATAAACTGATGATCTTTCTTTTGGGTCAGCAATGCCAAGTAGATCATTCTATCTTCTTCAGAGGTCGAGTTTCTGAACTTCACGATGAGGGTTTTATTGATGGCTCTTGACCTGGCTAGACCAAAGAAGGTATGTCTGGTAGTTGTGTCTATTTGTGCTAACTTTTATCCTCTACTTTATAAGTCCTAGATCGGGAGTCGTTGATGATCTTGTAGTTCTTATCTATCTCTGGGGCCTTCATGAAGGGTTCCATGTGGTGAAGTGAGAACTTCTTGGCGTTGAATGGCGGGACGCTTTGACTCTGGAACTTCGTTGCCTTCCTGAAGGCTGTGCTGAGGTTCTCTGGTACATCCGAGACAGGATCGATGGGTGGAAGGGTAAGTGTATCAAAAGTCCTCGTTTGACATCATATACGTGAATGCTTCATTATCCTCTTTAGAAGGTGATGCAAGTTCCAATCTATTTGACATCCAAGATTTGATCTCTGTATCAGAGAATATGATTCCGCCATCATCTTCAGATCTAGAGGCCTCTTGTTCTGGAGATCGTTGCTGTTGTGTCTCCTTCCTGCATGGAGATCTGCGTAGAGACTTGAATGGAGACCTTCGTGGAGACCTGCATGGGGATCTGTGTGGAGACCTGCGCGCAGGCGACTGATTCAGATAAGGATCCTCCCTGGAGACTTGAGACGTATCTCTGTGCCTTCGTGAAGGTGTAGATTCTCTTCTACGGTATGTTGGGTGCCTGCGCGCAGGCTCCTGATGGCTGTCCGTATCTGAGGAGGCTGATCTGCGATGCTCCGGTGAACGTCTGGTTCTGCTCCTGCGCGAAGGCTCCTCTGGAATATCTATTGCAGATTCATCGTTGTCCATGCTGGCAGGCTCTCGTGAAGATGTCGTGGAACATCGTCGAGTGTGTGATCCTTCATGTAGGTTTCCTCCTTCACGCAGGCTACTATCTTCAGCGGGATGTGATCTGCAGGCTGCTTGTCCTACATGCAGGCTTGTCGTAGATTGGGCCTTTCATCGCAGCTTTCTCCTGCGCGAACCTCCGTTCCATCAGGTAGATACCCGGGTTGAAACTCTGTGACAACGGCTGCTGCTGCTGCAATGAGGCCGACGCATCTGAGAGTACTGAGGCTTCTCCCAAGGACTGCTGCACTTGTGAAGACCTGCCATCTCTATCTGATGTCTGCGTTGATAGAACGTCTGACTGCACTGAGATGACTGCTGATGTTACTGTAGACGAAGACCTCGTCTTCTTCACTGCTACTTCAGGAATGAGGATGGGTGGCTCGTCATATACGTCTACTTCGTCTGACGGGATGATCTCTGCAGCGAAGGACCTCGTCTTGTGCGCTGCCCCATGGGAAGACTTCGCCGGAGTCTTATCTGCAGACGACTTCTTCTTCTGAGAAGACGATGCCCTAGTCTTCTTAGACTGTGACGAGGTTATAGTTAATGTTGACAACCTCTTCCTGGAGCCAGAGCTACCATCAGCCACAGCAACATGCTCCGTAGTAGCAACTGGTAAATCACTGGATTGGTGAATGTCAGCAGACAGCAATAAACGGTTATCAGCGCAATCACTCGGTTTAGACATGACTTGTAAAAGCCGTCTAGACCTGTCCTTGGCACGTCTAAGAATGGAATATAAATGATTATCAAATTCAATTTAACAAAGTTGACAGCGAAAGCTGGAAGAACATGTAGAAGTACAATTAGGACATAATAGATGCGGATCAGCAACCGACAACCGGTACCCGCAACGACTGCAAGTTTTAATCAATTGTAAACAAGATGAAAAATCATGTCAACAACATGAATAAACAGATGATTTAGACAAAAAGTTCAAACCATATTGCTGGTATATCATCCTAAATGCTGTATACAGCTAGGGAGCTTCAGAAGGGGATTCAAGTGTTCCACTATCATTCGCAAGAAGAAGGAGACAAGCAATTAAGCATGAGTCAGGATAAGGAAAAATATGAGATGTGTAGCGACTGACTGGACTTGGGTCACCATGGCTTACATCAACTGTGTGTTGTTTTTGACATGGAATAGATAGAGAAACTCACTCTTGTATCTTTGGATATGGAATATACCACTATGCCTTGCACAAGTATAACACGTCAAGGATTATCATCCAAAACCAATCTTTCAACTTTTTCAGTTTGGAACCAGTCATAACCAGTCTTAAGAGTTGAAAGTACTGCTAACCAGCTTCAGTGGAAGAAAGTCATCTCCTTTGCTGGTCATGTCATGGTAACTGATGTCATAGTAACTGATGTCATAGTAACTGTGGATGTAACAATGGTCTGTAAAGCACTGTGATGCAATTTCACTGTAGCTATATGCCTGGGCTACTGGACGTGGCTCTGTGTATTGGTGGACAACAGACAACACTGGCTCACTGATCTGCAGCAGGGCTACTGGACTACTGGGTGTGGCTCTGTGTACTGGTGGACAACAGACAGCACTGGCTCACTGATCTGCAGCAGGGCTACTGGACTACTGGGTGTGGCTCTGTGTACTGGTGGACAACAGACAACACTGACTCACTGATCTGTAGCAGGGCTACTGGACTACTGGGTGTGGCTCTGTGTACTGGTGGACAACAGACAACACTGACTCACTGATCTGTAGCAGGGCTACTGGACTACTGGGTGTGGCTCTGTGTACTGGTGGACAACAGACAACACTGACTCACTGATCTGTAGCAGGGCTACTGGACTACTGGGTGTGGCTCTGTGTACTGGTGGACAACAGACAACACTGACTCACTGATCTGCAGTAGGGCTACTGGACTACTGGTTGTAGCTCTATGTACTGGTGGACAACAGACAACACTGACTCACTGATCTGTAGCAGGGCTACTGGACTACTGGGTGTGGCTCTGTGTACTGGTGGACAACAGACAACACTGACTCACTGACTGCAGCAGGGCCACTGGACTACTGGGTGTAGCTCTATGTACTGGTGGACAACAGACAACACTGACTCACTGATCTGCAGCAGGGCTACTGGACTACTGGGTGTGGCTCTGTGTACTGGTGGACAACAGACAACACTGACTCACTGACTGCAGCAGGGCCACTGGACTACTGGGTGTAGCTCTATGTACTGGTGGACAACAGACAACACTGACTGACTGATCTGTAGCAGGGCTACTGGACTACTGGGTGTGGCTCTATGTACTGGTGGACAACAGACAACACTGACTCACTGATCTGTAGCAGGGCTACTGGACTACTGGGTGTGGCTCTGTGTACTGGTGGACAACAGACAACACTGACTCACTGACTGCAGCAGGGCCACTGGACTACTGGGTGTAGCTCTATGTACTGGTGGACAACAGACAACACTGACTCACTGATCTGTAGCAGGGCTACTGGACTACTGGGTGTGGCTCTGTGTACTGGTGGACAACAGACAATACTGACTCACTGACTGCAGCAGGGCTACTGGACTACTGGGTGTGGCTCTATGTACTGGTGGACAACAGACAACACTGGCTCACTGATCTGTAGCAGGGCTACTGGACTACTGGGTGTGGCTCTATGTACTGGTGGACAACAGACAACACTGACTTACTGATCTGTAGCAGGGCTACTGGACTACTTGGTGTGGCTCTGTGTACTGGTGGACAACAGACAACACTGACTCACTGATCTGCAGCAGGGCTACTGGACTACTGGGTGTGGCTCTATGTACTGGTAGACATTAACATATACTTACTGTCCCCATTGGTTGAGCAGGCACTGCGAGGCCGGGACCGAAGTGTGTCCCTCTCTCTCTGGAAGGCAGCACTCACAGGTCGGGCTTTACGCTGCATGGAGTCAGGTCCAAACACAGCATTCAGGTCAAACAGACTGCTCTGCAACAAACACAGCATTCAGCTCAAACAGATTGCTCTGCAACAAACAGGATTCAGGTCAAACAGATTGCTCTGCAAATAAAGGCTTTAACACTGATCCAAATTTTGATTAAAAAGCTATTGCGTAACAAAATCTTCTAGGTATGGTTGATAGGATGTGAATGTTGTTAAAACAAATATGCAGGGCATTTGACATGTCATATACTAACCTACAGGAATACTCTCTCCTTCACTGATCTGTCCCACAAACTTACCTACAGGAACACTCTCTCCTTCACTGATCTGCCCCATACACTAACCTGGGCATATCTTTGGGGGTCGTCATACGTGGAGAGGTAGCGGTCATCTACCTTCTGTCTGTCAGGGTCAGCATCACATAGGCCGGACATTACCTACAACATCAATACCAACACATCATCGCCTACAACATCCACACCAATACATCATCGCCTACAACATCCCCACCAACACATCATCGCCTACAACATCCACACCAACACATCATCGCCTACAACATCCACACCGACACATCATCGCCTACAACATCCACACCGACACATCATCGCCTACAACATCCACACCGACACATCATCGCCTACAACATCCACACCGACACATCATCGCCTACAACATCCACACCAATACATCATGGCCTACAACATCCACATCAACACCAACATCCTTACAGCAGATTTATGCATGACTACGTATTGTTAATTGTTTGATGGGCATTCTAGAAGTTTGCGACTCAAAAATGAAACATACAACTTTATGGATGACAACTTCTTATTTATTGCATAGAGCGACGTTTCGATGTAGATTCTATAGTTTGATTAGTTCTTTTTCTTTTTAGTTCTAATCAATTAATCAAACTATAGACTCTATAAGCATCCAATCAGCTTGTTATTACAACTTAATCCCCCTTGTTCTTAGTCTCCCACTGGCCTCTCATAATTATGTACCAGTTGTTATCCAATTACATGTTGTTGTTAATGTTAATCTGCTGTTGTCGAAACATACTGTGTATATATATTCCTCTACATCTGGTTGTATCCACTTTTAGCTTGATAACGATGTAAGAATCTACAACGAGTCGTTGCTCTATGCAATAAATAAGAAGTTGTCATCCCTATAGTTGTATGTTGCTACGTGTTGTGTTCGAGAGCTGCCAGCAAATGTCCTGCTGGAACCTGGCAGCACAGTAGAGTCGGCCCTGACAAACAGAGCTCCATATGATTGTAGTTAAGTAGATATCAAAAACAGACTGCAAGTTAGCCGAACGTCTGGGGCACTTTATGATTTTATGTGTATACAGTAATGGTTTGTATCAATTCAACCCACATTGCTGGTGTTGGTGTTTGTGGTCATGCCTGAGTTCGTCTGTACCACCAACTCCCTCAGTGTCATGTCAGCTTGCTCAACAATGTCCTGAGCCTTGGGTTTAGATCGCTGAACACCTGCTGATTTCGATCGAGTATTACGGTTTCCACTTGGTGGCCGCTTCCCGTTCAATCCGGTCTGTCAATCATAAAACAACTATCAATAGCCATTTAGATCCACACTATTTCTCTATGAAAGCACTAAACTGCAGGGTAATACTGTCCTCCATTAAGTAAAGGAAGGAAATATCCTGGGTCCTGAAAGTGAACAATAGAACGGGCACAAAGTGCACTCCAATCACATTGAAGAAATATGTATTACAGTATGACATGAACTCAAGCAAAATCAGTTTGTCTGACAACTCTTTGAACAATATGGCAAGACACATACACAGACAAAGATTTTATCACTGAATCTCAACTGGAAAAGGAAGAGTGCAACTGACACATGGTGTGATGAAGACAAAGATGAAGGAGGGAGCTGGCAGCAAGGTGGTCACAGGATGTGTCCAGGTGAATGTTTCTACACTGTTTTACTGTCAGAGTAAGATGGAATATTACGTATTGTACACAAAGTTCACTGAGCACTGTGGTACATGGATCTAAGATGGCTGTTTCTACCTGTAGCGTTGTGACCTTGACCTTCCTACTGTTGATTGAATATATAAATATGCTGTAAATGTTTTCCACTATCACCAAGAAAATATATAAGAAACCAGAAAACTGTTTTATGCCTCTGCGTCCTAACAGTAAGAATTATCTCACTGTCAACCACGGCCTTCACAGAGTAACACACACCACATGTTCGAGAGAGAGGGAGGGAGGGAGAAAGAGAGAGGGGGGGATGGAGAGGAAGACAGCCAGATAGTCAGACCATCCTGAGGAACTACTTGTCGATGTCCCCCACTACTTCACTACCCCCCTCAATACACACACAACCTGTCTACTCCCCCACCTTTGTGAAGGTCCTCAGGAACTTCTTGTCGATGTCCTCCACCGGCCCCTTTGCACTCTGGACACGCTTGTGGAGCAGCAAGTTGTAGTGCGCCATGTCGTGCTGGTGACTGTCCATCACCTCCGTCATGTACTTGGTGCGGTTCTCCAGGTACGCCATCTGGCGGTGGCGGATCTCGTCCTGCACGGCCTCGTACTCCCTCTGTAGTAACTTCATGGCCAGCCGCTCCCAGTGGGATACAGCACGAGTCTGGAAATGTGATCAATTAAACATCACATCTCATCAATCTCACCTGGCAAAAGTGGATTTTAACTGATATACAAATAGACACATCACCTAAAACATGAACTAATGCTTAATACATCATCAGTTATACGAAATGATTCAATGAACTGATCTATAAATATATATATATATAATCTGGTTGATTAACAGATATATACATTAATATACAAACTGACATACAGACTCAGACCGAGCTACTGCTGCTACTACATGACAACTATTATTCTTGTCTTGATCCACACAGAAGCTGATGACATACAACAACAAACCAGTCCAGACAATCTGGAGCTGCAACAAAAGTGACCACATCATCACATGTTCAGGTGAGCTACTACACCTGTAACACTTGACACGGCCATCATGATCTGTGTTGAATCATTAACGAGCCTCACCTTCCCACTACCCGGGTTGAGCTGTCCAAACCTAGCAGTCTCTCCTGCATCCTGCGCTGGTGCCCCTGTAACACAGTCCAAGCTAATCAGATCGCCGTCAATAATTAAACACTGTGTCGGATGAGGATTTGACTAAATTGATTTACTGTAAGCCTGCGCACAGGTGGTCTGGGTCGTACATGCTAGTCAAACATGCATGTGCCCACACAACCACCAGAGATTCTGTCTTACCTACACAAGTCACAACAATACAAAGGAAAGGGTATTTAAATTTGTCAGCAGTTGCCACCCACTGTCATGATGGCAGCCATGGTACAGTTGATTTCATTAGTCTTGAAGGCCAAGGTGTTGTGGCCACAACATTATTGTCAACATATCATTAAGTTTGTATTCCTTCTTTCTAAACTGGCCTATGAATACAGTTGAAGGAGGTTTACAGTAAGTCAAGACTTGAACCAATATCACCTGCCCCATTATCAGGAATCTCTGGCAGTAGTCACCTCCTCCACTCGCAGGTAGTCAACAGCCGTAACAACTACACCCAGGTAAGTGTTGAACACTTAGGTAAGTGGTGGTACCAGGACATACTCCATTACACATCACACAGTTAAGAGTCTACTTAATGGCTGTCCACAAGGAACGTCACCCATCGTTCCTGAATTCCTACAGATTCAGACTACCAGACTTCTGTGTACTTTAAAATCAAGGACCACCTGATCACATTATCCCCCAACCCCCATCCCTCTCTCGCTAAACACGCGGTAAAAATCTAAACATTAATTACGAATTTACAACTTCTGAATACTAATCATTTCCAAATATAGTTTAATGATCTCAAATGAATCGCTATCACCACATATACCTCAGTACACATACAGACACCTCATACATACCTCAGTACACACACAGACACCTTATACATACAGATACACCTTATACATAAGTCTTTTTCATTTTTAAAGAGGCTTTTTCATTAAACATTTACAAAAACAAAGTGACTGCTTTCTAAATGTCATGAAACATGGCCAGATGTCTTACCTACAATATTAGCCAAATGCAATGTAGCAGTTGTCTCCCCTTGCCATGCACTGTAAGAAAGGACAGCTGGTATCAATTATGTTCATCTTTGTTTCTTTTGTTGTTTAACACCACATTCAGAAATTTTCCAGATACATGACAGATGTATGTAAATAATCAAGCCTGGACCAGACAATCCAGTGACTGACATCATGGGCATCAACCTACCATGCATCAACCAAGTCAGCGATCCTGACCATTTGATCTGGATAGTTGCCTCTTACAACATGCATGGGTTGCTGAAGACCAATTCTTCACAGGACTGTTCATGTTCAAAATGTTTGTAAAGTTCATGATATAAACTGTTATCTTTCAAGCTTCTTTATCAAGTAAAGGGTGAATGTTGTTATATGCCACAATAATCACTAGTGCTGTAACGATGTATTGAACTATCGATGGATTGCAATTCTTGAGTCTCCGATAGCTGTGTATGGAATAAACAAAAAACCCAGTCAGACATCAGGGCTGGTAACTTCAAAATGTTACCAGCCAATGATGAATTTAACCAGACCAGACACCAACATATGGTGAATTTGCTCATTTGCTCATTTGTATGGAACATTTTTTACCAGACCATCGGGCTGGCCAGCTGTAGATTTAGACTGTCCGTCAGAAATCTAGCCCATCTCAGTGGGTCGGACGGGCCGTATTTCATACACTGCCGATAGCAATTAATCGCAGACATGGGGTAATTGTAATTTGTAATTGTAATTGAATGTAATTAATTACAAAAATCTATGTAACTGCATGTAATTTGTAATTGAATGTTTAAAATGTAATTTGTAATTGTAATTTAATTAATTAATATCTCAAAGTAATTGAATTTTTCAATTACTTTTTCAATTACATCAAATTACATCTCACTTTTTTATTTTGGTGGTCATCAGGCTTATATTCTGTACAATAAGGAGGACAAAGCAGTGTTTTTCAATAAGATGCTTGTTGTTGGTATATACTCTAGCAGGTGTTAAGTTTTGAAAGAGATTTGAATGTCTAAGCCTTTGTAACTATCACCATCTGCACATTTGTGAAAGAAAGGGAATCAGTAACGCATGACTGAATGTAGGTCGGTATTTGAGGAAATGGGGGATAAACAGTACTATTAGTCAAGTTCCTATCAACACGGCCTCTTTGTTTATTTCTCATAGGATATGATATTCAAAATCTTACTGAACTGTAGTCCTATTTTTATAATCATGAAGGTAATAAGCCATAAATCCAAGTTGAAAAATCCTTTAGTATGTTAATGTGGATTATGTCAGATAGAGAGACCGGCTGATTATATATTGTAATGTAGGCCTGTAATGATGTCATGATACAGTACACCTAAGGTAACAGTGGTGGACAAAGTGTTTTTTGCAACAAGAGATGATAGAGGTGTGTATTTGATAATAAGCCCAAAGAAATATGCAAAATACAAATTTGATCAAATAGTGTACATTGTAGATATAATCTAATTTTGCATTTCACTTTTTGATGACAAAAATATGAATTGGATTTAGTGACCACTGCTTACCAACATCGATATCTTGTTGATTAAAGGAATACAGAAATATATTTGTTTTGGGTTTTTTTGGTTTTTTTAACAAAGTAATTTGTAATGTAATTAATTACATTGGTAATGTAATTGTAATTTAATTAATTACATTCTAATTTAAGGTGTAATTGTATTTGTAATTGAGGAAAATCAAAGTAATTGTAATTTAATTAATTACATTTCAAAGTAATTGAACCCATGTCTGATTAATCGATGGTAGAAACGAAAAAAGTATCGATGCATCGACAGTATGTGTGACTATCGATAGTTTAGTAATTGACTTCCGTTGATAAATGTGCAGTGCAAATACAGGAAATACCATATGTGTTCACTTTGATTTAGAGTTATCCGTCCCTGTTACCTCTTAAACAAACATGGCAGCAGACATGGCATGCGACTCCGAGTTTGAAATTGTGAATAACAAATTTTTTTAGTTTTAACTGTTTACATGATCTGGGTTTCAAGTATCTTGTCAGTTATTAAAAGAGACTGAAACTACTTCAACTTGTTTTTATTTCATACACATGTATACTATACATTCATTTGGGAAATGACTTCAAGTGAGACAATTCAAGGAGAAAAAAACTATTGCAATAGTTGGTCTCAATAGTTTCCCCCTCAATAGTCACCCCTAATAATCACTGAAAGCAATATTCTAGCAAGACTCTGTAAACAACAGACAGGGCAAATCAGTGACTGACCATAAGAGGAACACTATGATGACACACAGCTCGACTATATCTGTTCTTACACTTACCAAATGCACTGAGGACCTTCATAACCCTCAATCTCCATCATGAATATATGTACCGTATTTGCCGAATTAATATCCAGTTTATAACCACAACCAACTTTAAGGCCAATTGTAATGATTATAATTGTAAAGCACCTCAGACTTTATTTTCTTGTGTATTTCACAACCTGTTTCCAGAAGGATCAGGGCCCTTATTCTCGAAACGTTCGTAGCCCTAAGAATTCTTAATTTTGATCGTAGCCAATGTGTTAAGAATGGGCTTAAGACGTTCGCAGGACTTAAGAAGTTTCGAGAATAGCTAGCCAGCACCTATGATGGTATACACCTGCCACACAACTGTTTTTGGAAACAATGATGTTTGAACAATGTCTCTAACACTTAATCTTTGCAAACAAATTTATCTCCCTGTTAATATTAAAAATGGATTTAATACATGCTTCCCTTCATCAGCTTCCAAATATCCCTGGGCACTTGTTTCATCAAACACAGTACACATGTAGGAGATATGAAACATATTTATCTATGCAATTCAAATCAAACAGTCTCAATATTAATCAGAAATTATGCATTGACTTAAATTCTGTGAATGATCCAATCTTAATTTACAGATGAAAGTATATCCACATAAAAGCCGAAGACAACTACCAACTCACCGTTTTACAAGTGAAATGAGACAATTGAGACTGTCCGTGGCTTTCTGTGTTTCAGATCGGCTCTGCAGTAGTTCCTGTCTAAGTTTGGAGATGATCTCCATCAGTGTGGCAGTCGACTGGCTCTCCACGCCAACAGACCCCGGGGTTGGTACACCAGCAGGCATTGTATCTCACCCAGTAACATCAACAGAGGAACACTGCCAGACAACAGGAAACTGTCTGTAACCACGGTAACTGATTTTTAACTTAGCATTAAATCCAACCATTGATCATACAGTTTATAATAATAGACTGAACATGATTCCACCAGGGAATAGAGATATTTTCAGAATGAGAAACGTACTTGTAATTGACAAATACATTTGTGGGCAAATGGCTGAAACAGTTAATATTTTGGTGCATAAACAGAATAATAAAACATGACTATTTTAATAAACTAGCCCAGGAGCTAAGAAAATAAGATAATCTGCACTAATTTGCAGGTAATACACATTTCTCAGGAGCAGTAAATGGCCAAACAGATCTCATGCGGTGTAACTTGGTCCCATTATTAAAATGATATGTGCCATAACTGTAAGCCCTCCAACTTAGAAACAGTGATAAAATTATTGTTGCATTAAACAACGTAATCAAACTAAAGTTAATGAAACATACTACATGTTTGTTGGAATGTTGTTCTGATGCACGTAACTGATGAGATGATAGTCATAGAACTCCAATAATATACGGTAAGTTGAGTATACATATCTGCTCACTTTCACACTCTTGTTTGCCTGGCATAGTATGTTGATCTAGGTCAGAACTAATATGGACAGTTTTATATTATTCCTGGAACTGATGGTGCCTCTAATATAGCTAAATCGGGCCCTAAATCGCTACCTTTTTATATAAATGTCATGTCGTTGTCACATTGTCAGGGAATGCATAGAAAACGCATCCATGTTGTTTACAGTTGTGTCCCGGACACGAAGTGCGGTCCTGCAAAAGAAGAATTTTTGGCTAGATCGGAAAAGGATTTGTTGTACCTGTCGTGAGCAATTTAGGGTCGCATGTTTTACACGAAATAAAAATACCAGCAAGTATTCGGCCAAGTATTATATATGGAATACATCACATTCGTCTCTCTTATATATGTCCATTATAGACATAGTACTACATGACTGTTAATGTCATATATCTATCAGATGCACTGTCCTCTTTCATTTTCGGCTGAGTGTTTAATCACTTAAATGTCTAGGGCTAGAGGAAATGCGGTATTTGTTTATCGATTATGCGAGTAATCAAGTCACGAAAAGCTGATTCAGGTTATGATATGTACAAGAGGTTAGTGTTCCTTTAAAGAAGGTTTGGAAGTTTGCGTGTTGATAGGACCAGGATCGAGCAGAATAACACGTTACAGAGACACGATATCTTTACTCCTTCAACCTATCGCTACGAACCATATCTATAATGCTGTTTTCAAAGGCTGCCTGGTTTATTATTTGAAATTTCAACCTGTAATTATCTTATATTCCCCTCGAAAACCACATGACAAATCTCTGTAAGGTTTCTTTGAGAGGCATTTTAGAAGATATATAGATGAAGGAAAACCCAAATTCTATGGATAGACAATAAAGAAGTTGACTATCCATGATAGAACTTTGTTTTCCCTCTGTAAGGTTCTCGGACGCTGTATGATGTTTCATAATGTATGCAGATGATATTTTTTATATAAATTGATATGTTGTTTTATAATGAATTTCTTCTCAATCTCACTGTTTTCTAAAAGTTTGGCCCTTTTGACTTTAATCTATGGGGCGCAATCTATGACCCTTTTCACTTTCCTTTGGCCCTTTTTTACTTTAATCTTTGACCCTTTTGACTTTTCCAGTTTGGGTCCTTTTGTCCTTTTGGCCTGTTCCCTATCTCATTATCGACACTTTGTCAAAGTGACTTTTAGTTTCGTAATGAGAGCAAATATTGGTGCATGGTAATGTACGTGCCAAAACAAAATCATACATCGAAATTTCGGTTCGAAATCTATGTTTTATAAGAACCCAAGTAGATAAAAAAAATTAAACGGAATAATTAAAAATGTTTACAAATCGTATCTGAAAAATACAGAGAAGAAAATGAAACGACACATGGGAAGTTATATGTCAGTATTGTGTATAATCTTAATAAATGTTAGTACCGCGGTCTCCTTTAGTGCGGGCTAGTCACTCAAAGCAGGAAGTGCGCGAATACTCGTCAGCATTCGAGGGATTTCGACATCTATAAATTTAACTCATCACATTGAATATTACAACATTTCATCGTGATGGCGTACTACGGTCAACAGCAGCAACAGCAATATCGTCCACCGGCTCCGGCAGGCATGCCTGACCAAAACTGGTTGATGAGTGTATTTCAAAGGTCAGTTTGCCCAGATATATTTGTTTGAGATAAAAGAGTACAGACTACAAGTCGTTCAGTAATTTCCTCAACTTTATGTCTTAAGCCATATCCTGAAATTCACCTGTCGTTGTATCAAGTCTTTGTTTAGAGTAGAAAGTGACTGAATCATTAATATTTCATGGTACATTTAATTCTCATGTTTTAAATGATGAACATTTGTAGAACTAGAAGTATGTTGATAGAACATCACTGCCATCATGTACATTGAATACCTTGTTGATGTGTCATGTGAGAGGTAGAATGTAGTTGTCTGATCATTTGTCACGTAGGGCTATGAATATTGTTTTAGTTGAGATACGTCAACACAAGAGTATCACAATGTATCAGTTATTTGTAAAATTAACTATTCCGTAAATGAAATATAATTTCATTAAGTAGAGCTGCTGTTAATAAATTTGATGTGAAATTTGACATAAGCTGATCCATTACTGTGATCACATGTTCTGACTTCACATAATTTCAAATTTGACGTAGGCTGATCCATTACTGTGATTACATGTTCTGACTTCACATAATTTCATTCTGCCATCATTCCGATCATAATAAATGTAGACATCTATTAATCAGTTTAGTATAAACATACAAACATTTGTATTATTACAGTATCAACAGTAAAATATTTTCAATACATCAGTGTCAAGAATATCATTATTTATGAAATGTTACTGGTACATCAACTGATATATTTCCAAACTGCCTATTATCGAGCCTCACCTCATCATGCCATAGTAAAATTGTAAAAGTTGTTATAGCGGGATTTTTAATGTATTTCTGGTCATATTTCTCTTGATTTATTCAGTATGACAAGCGATTGTTAAAATGTTGAAAGACAGAAAACGGAATCAATATTTTTCATTGATATATTACTGTGGGTGAAACGCTATACCACGGTATTAGTAAAACCACAGTATTTTGCCTTTGGTTCAGTATACTGTAATGCAATCGGAAATTACCAAATTTTTGGTTTTTGTACCGTCATTTCTATCTAGTCATAAAATAACAAAGATTATGGTTATTTTTTTCCATGTTATTAAACAATGTAAGATTTGGCTCTTGTTAATATTCTGTATTATGATCATATCTCATATACCGAACCGAAACGGACTAAACCGAAGGCCTTGTATCGCTATATGGACCGTACCATGGTAAGAGCGTAAAGTTTCACCTCTATATATTACAAGAGGAGCAATGTAATTAAGTAAGATCACCCATGTTACATTACAAATTCTTCATATCCAATAAGCATATTTTTCTTACATTGTGGTGAATCTTTCATTAAATTGTGATGAATCTTTATGATGTAAGAAAGTGCCTATCAGTACCACATATGCCCATTAACACATAAGTATTCATGTACTCCTTGCATCATGTACAAAATAATGGGGGGAAATTACTCACTCACTCCATGCATGAGCATATCCTCCAGTGTATGATACCTTGTCATTTATCATCATCATAGGAGTAATGTATCAAGTTTCATCTATACCCCAAACCGTTACCATGCTTACTAAACATATGATGACTAACAGGAGGCCCAGGTGTCAAAAGAAGGCTGAGATCACAAAGTTGTTCAGTCATGATTGGCTGATAGAATCGTACCTGTGGCTATCAGTTTCAGCTGAGTAGTAAATGTCAAACACTCTTCGTCATGCATTATTTCAGGCTTGTCTCCAGTGTAAAGCTGACACGGGATGACAGCACTGCTGGACACACACATACTAACTAAACATATTCCAGTACCATCTGTACATGATGGAGTTTTCCTCCTGAATTTAAAAATGTAAATCCCTGCAGCCCATTCTAAAAAATTCTCAGTCCTTAGTAACCATGGTAACTGTTGATCATGATGATGATGTACCTGGCTTTTCTAGAGTGGACAAAGACCGAAGTCAGCAGATATCGGCGAAGGAGCTTGGAGAGGCTTTGTCCAATGGTAAGCTTCCGGTCATGCTGCCAGTACTGATCGCAAGTCATGTCACCAAGGAGCATGCTTGTATTTCCCTCATGACCAACTAACACAATGCTGTAGTCTGACATGCACATACTTGTACTTGGGATGCTTACATTTTGAGACATTTTCTTCTAACATGATTTGTTTTCAGACAAATAGTTTCACACATGAATAAGCCTCGTGAACTAGTCACATTGTAATTATGGAAATAACCTGTGTGTCAAGTAAAAATCTGAAAATTTATGTTGAACACAGTAAGTGCTGTCCACATGCATGTAACCATGGTAACTCTTGTACTAAATGGCCGCACTGTTTGAAAGGTAATAGTAACACAGTTTACAAGCTGATGTACAATGTAACCATGGTAACAGTGCAATGTATAAAGCTGATTACTGTTCATGGGGAAATATAAGCATGTTGCCTCTGACCAGGTGTGTATGTCAGTACGGCCCTCTTCCCACAGCATGACCTTCCCCCAACCCCCAGTCCCATCCCTGCCCCCCCCTGTCAGGTAGACTGCAGCATGTAGTGGCTAGTAGAGTAGCACCTGATGTCTACATTACTGTTGTCCAGGATCGACAAGGATCGCAGTGGCTCCATCTCTGGCGAGGAACTTGGAGTGGCCTTATCCAATGGTAAGGGTGTTGGGGTGCTGCCATCTCTATACCACATGTGTAGCCTTCCTTCCTTCTGTGTGTGTAAGTGAAAGTTTTGTTGTGACTAAGGTTTGTGTGCTTCACAGTAAGTTGTATTTGCTTGTGAGTGGTGAGGCCAATGGCATATATATACTTGTTGACATTTTCAGGATTTTGTGTATTTTTTTTTATAGATTTCTCTTCACTACCAGATTGGGCTTGTCTACTGAAGCCTACTGGGTGCAGTGTTTGATGCATATTCTTGGTGTTCCATGTTGTGTTGGAGGTGGTGTTGCTAAAAGAGGCAAAAAATAAAACCCCATTCACTGTTCGCTGCCAGGATGACTAAGTTGATGAAAATTTGTTAGTATTTTGGGAGTCAATTTGTCCGTGAAGTCCATTTCTGGTCTCCATCAGCCATATATTGCTGGAATATTAAATAGAAACAACTAAACTCAACTCACATGCAACACTGGGGTCCTGATCTTCATACATCTACTGCCATGTATACATTGTTGAACTATGTGTTATCTAAAACAAGACACTGCCTCGGTGGTCTAGTGGATAGAGTGTCTGCCCAGACAGTGGAAGGTTGTGGTTTCAACCCTGTCGGGATCACACCAGGACATGTTCGATGTGGTGTTTATTGTTATCCTGCTTTGTGCTTGGGATTTATAAATGATAAAACAAAGACAGCTGGGTGTCCATGTTCAACTGCAGCATAATATCTCAGTGGTCTAGCACTATTAACTCTTGCATCAGTCTCTACTAGTACATGCTGTCCCCCTACTAGAACATAGTAAATGCTGTCCCCCTACTAGTACATGCTGTCCCCCTACTAGTACATGCTGTCCCCCTACTAGTACATGCTGTCCCCCTACTAGTACATGCTGTCCCCCTACTAGTACATGCTGTCTCCCTACTAGTACATGCTGTCCCCCTACTAGTACATGCTGTCCCCCTACTAGTACATGCTGTCCCCCTACTAGTATATGCTGTCCCCCTACTAGTACATGCTGTCCCCCTACTAGTATATGCTGTCCCCTACTAGTACATGCAGTCCCCCTACTAGTACATGCAGTCCCCACTAGTACATGCTGTCCCCTACTAGTATATGCTGTCCCCTACTAGTACATGCAGTCCCCTACTAGTACATGCAGTCCCCCCTACTAGTACATGCCGTCCCCCTACTAGTAGTACATGCTGTCCCCCTACTAGTATATGCTGTCTCCCTACTAGAACATGCTGTCCCCTACTAGTACATGCAGTCCCCCTACTAGTACATGCTGTCCCTCTACTAGTACATGCTGTCCCCCTACTAGTACATGCTGTCCCCTACTAGTACATGCTGTCCCCCTACTAGTACATGCTGTCCCCCCTACTAGTACATGCAGTCCCCTACTAGTACATGCTGTCCCCTACTAGTACATGCTGTCCCCCCTACTAGTACATGCTGTCCCCTACTAGTACATGCTGTCCCCTACTAGTACATGCTGTCCCCCTACTAGTATATGCTGTCCCCTACTAGTACATGCTGTCCCCTACTAGTACATGCTGTCCCCTACTAGTACATGCTGTCCCCCTACTAGTACATGCTGTCCCCCCTACTAGTACATGCTGTCCCCCTACTAGTACATATACATGCTGTCCCCCTACTAGTACATGCTGTCCCCCTACTAGTACATGCTGTCCCCCTACTAGTACATGCAGTCTCCTACTAGTACATGCTGTCCCCTACTAGTACATGCTGTCCCCTACTAGTACATGCTGTCCCCCTACTAGTACATGTAGTCCCCTACTAGTACATGCTGTCCCCTACTAGAACATAGTAAATGCTGTCCCCCTACTAGTACATGCTGTCCCCCTACTAGTACATGCTGTCTCCCTACTAGTACATGCAGTCCCCCTACTAGTACATGCTGTCCCCCTACTAGTACATGCTGTCCCCCTACTAGTACATGCAGTCCCCCTACTAGTACATGCTGTCCCCCTACTAGAACATAGTACATGCTGTCCCCCCCTACTAGTACATGCTGTCCCCCTACTAGTACATGCTGTCCCCCTACTAGTACATGCTGTCTCCCTACTAGTACATGCTGTCCCCCTACTAGTACATGCAGTCCCCCTACTAGTACATGCAGTCCCCCTACTAGTACATGCTGTCCCCCTACTAGTACATGCTGTCCCCCTACTAGTACATGCAGTCCCCCTACTAGTACATGCTGTCCCCCCTACTAGTACATGCTGTCCCCCTACTAGTACATGCTGTCCCCCTACTAGTACATGCTGTCCCCTACTAGTACATGCAGTCTCCCTACTAGTACATGCTGTCCCCTACTAGTACATGCAGTCCCCCTACTAGTACATGCAGTCCCCCTACTAGTACATGCTGTCCCCTACTACTAGTACATGCTGTCCCCTACTAGTATATGCAGTCCCCCTACTAGTACATGCAGTCCCCCTACTAGTACATGCTGTCCCCTACTAGTATATGCTGTCCCCCTACTAGTACATGCAGTCCCCCTACTAGTACATGCAGTCCCCCTACTAGTACATGCCGTCCCTCTACTAGTACATGCTGTCCCCCTACTAGTATATGCTGTCTCCCTACTAGAACATGCTGTCCCCCTACTAGTACATGCAGTCCCCCTACTAGTACATGCTGTCCCTCTACTAGTACATGCTGTCCCCCTACTAGTACATGCTGTCCCCCTACTAGTACATGCTGTCCCCCTACTAGTACATGCTGTCCCCCTACTAGTACATGCTGTCCCCCTACTAGTACATGCTGTCCCCCTACTAGTACATGCTGTCCCCCTACTAGTACATGCTGTCCCCCTACTAGTACATGCTGTCCCCCTACTAGTACATGCTGTCTCCCTACTAGTACATGCTGTCCCCCTACTAGTACATGCAGTCTCCCTACTAGTACATGCAGTCCCCCTACTAGTACATGCTGTCCCCTACTAGTACATGCTGTCCCCTACTAGTACATGCTGTCCCCCTACTAGTACATGCTGTCCCCCCTACTAGTACATGCTGTCCCCTACTACTAGTACATGCTGTCTCCCTACTAGTGTACATGCTGTCCCCCTACTAGTACATGCTGTCCCCCTACTACTAGTACATGCTGTCCCCCTACTAGTACATGTAGTCCCCCTACTAGTACATGCTGTCCCCTACTAGAACATAGTAAATGCTGTCCCCTACTAGTACATGCTGTCCCCCTACTAGTACATGCTGTCTCCCTACTAGTACATGCAGTCCCCTACTAGTACATGCTGTCCCCTACTAGTACATGCTGTGTCCCCTACTAGTACATGCAGTCCCCCTACTAGTACATGCTGTCCCCCTACTAGAACATAGTACATGCTGTCCCCCTACTAGTACATGCTGTCCCCCTACTAGTACATGCTGTCTCCCTACTAGTACATGCTGTCCCCCTACTAGTACATGCTGTCCCCCTACTAGTACATGCAGTCCCCCTACTAGTACATGCAGTCCACCTACTAGTACATGCTGTCTCCCTACTAGTACATGCAGTCCCCCTACTAGAACATGCTGTCCCCCTACTAGTACATGCAGTCCACCTACTAGTAAATGTTGTCCCCCTACTAGTACATGCTACACCTAAACCCATCCCTCGCATACCCATGCAAACACACACCACAACCACAAACATACCTCTGTGTCCCACTGGTGATATGATGTAGAATTAAGCATACCTCTCTGTCCCACTGGTGATATGATGTAGGGTGAAGCATACCTCTGTGTCCCACTGGTGATATGATGTAGGATGAAGCATACCTCTGTGTCCCACTGGTGATATGATGTAGGGTGAAGCATACCTCTGTGTCCCACTGGTGATATGATGTAGGATGAAGCATACCTCTGTGTCCCACTGGTGATATGATGTAGGATGAAGCATACCTCTGTGTCCCACTGGTGATATGATGTAGGATGAAGCATACCTCTGTGTCCCACTGGTGATATGATGTAGGATGAAACATACCTCTGTGTCCCATTGGTGATATGATGTAGGATGAAGCATACCTCTGTGTCCCACTGGTGATATGATGTAGGATGAAGCATACCTCTGTGTCCCACTGGTGATATGATGTAGGATGAAGCATACCTCTGTGTCCCACTGGTGATATGATGTAGGATGAAGCATACCTCTGTGTCCCACTGGTGATATGATGTAGGATGAAGCATACCTCTGTGTCCCACTGGTGATATGATGTAGGATGAAGCATACCTCTGTGTCCCACTGGTGATATGATGTAGGATGAAGCATACCTCCTTTTCTAAATGTGATGATGAGTGGTAGGTGATATGTGTTGCTGAACAACTGCATGAGCTTTGCTACAATGCTAGCGGCCCCTCATCACTTCCTTGACTCATCTGTACCAACACATACAGTTGACAAGGGAGTTGATAGCTCGTATGTTGTGATTAGTTACTGTTGACGTCACTCCTTGTTTCAGTCAGCCTGGTCACATTTTCTTCTCTCACCTCAGTGTATAGAATGGAGCTTTAACTCGCAAGATAACTGAAGACATTCAGCATGCTTGATCAGCCTGTAGTTATTGGGGAATCCAGTCATTTCCCCACCCGGTCATTTCCCCACCAAGTCAATTCCCAACCTACCATTGCCCCATCCGGACAATACCCCACCTACCATTTCCCCATCTGGACAATACCCACCCAAATATATACAGTCGGGCCGTGTTAGTCCGGACCCCGATAATCCGATTCCCGCGATATCCGAACGGTAGCCAACTGTAATCAATCTTGTTTACTATGTAAACTCATTAAGTGTTGATTCATTAATCCAGTGCTTCGCTCTCCAGTTCTGGACATTAATTAGCGGTAACAGATTAGCTAATTACACTTGGTTTTGCTTCATTAATCCGGTGGTACATCAGAAACGTTCGGATAATCCCCTACCTTGTGAGCACCATTGATTAGCGCTGTTCTTCATCGGTAAACTTCAGTGATAATTGATAAGCGAGGTGACACTTCTGAGTTGAACATGTGGTTAGTTTGTGATTTTTTTCAATTAATAGGTGTCACTTGTCCAAACACAACTGGCACCATCAAAATTAAGCCGTTTGTCATTGCCAAATCCAGACGGAGAAGTAACTCTACTGTAGTGGTGTACGTAATGGTTCATTTCAGTAGTCTGTATGTTTCACTATTCGTACGTTTTGAATGAAAAACAGAAGTGTTCGGATTAACGCGGCTTGACTGTATCTGGCTGGTCATTTCCCCACCTTCCTGAACGCGGCTTGACTGTATCTGGCTGGTCATTTCCCCACCTTCCTGAACGCGGCTTGACTGTATCTGGCTGGTCATTTCCCCACCTTCCTGAACGCGGCTTGACTGTATCTGGCTGGTCATTTCCCCACCTTCCTGAACGCGGCTTGACTGTATCTGGCTGGTCATTTCCCCACCTTCCTGGTTTTTGTTGTTGTTATTTCACTCCAATATAAGAATGAAGGAACTGAAGGAGGGTAATTTCCCCACTAATCAGCTGCTAAGAGCCATCCAAAAACAGTTCCCTTCACATGCACTAATTAGCTTATCAAATTTGGGAGGTGTTTGCAAAGATGGGGAATTGACCAGGCAATATTATTCTTGGGTGTGGAAATGGCAGATGGGGTTGACCTGGTGGGGAATTGCCCTACACTCAGTTTTTAGATCCCCTAAGGAGGTCCACTTGTAAAAAGGCACCAATATTTGTAGCCCGACATATATATAAGTCCTAATCCAGAATTCCCCCCTGTTACCATGACAATACTGTTCTGCCACCACTTGACCTGCCCCCAGCTCTTTCAGTTCACTCATAAACCAAGTAGTTTACATTTTCCAGTACAGTTGCTAACTTCCAATCCATAACTGAAAAACAGTTACTCTCTCACCCTTCCTTCATAACTACCAAGTACATGTACATATCTTTCAGTATTGTAACAGGATCTGTTCAGATAGTACATGGTTAACAGCGAATCTGCGGATGATTGAGACACTTCGTTTTTGCAGGAACCTGGACGCCATTCAACCCTGAGACAGTGCGGCTGATGATTGGTGAGAAACTTTAAAACACTGTACTCAGCAATACTCCATTACATTACATCATGTCAATCTGTAGATGACTGGGATACAATGATGTGCATCAACCAAGTCAACTAACCTGACTACACAATTTTGTTAACAGCCCCTTTCAACAAACATGGCTGCTGAATACACATTCTGTCCTTTATCTAAGGACCACATGGAAACTTGCAAGTAAATACATGACTGGGGCAATGATGTGATTGTAAAGGCAGAAACCTACTCCAAACATGCCAGTAAATATGTGAAAATGCCATCAAAGAATATTTACAATCTCAAAAACATCGGGGCAGCATGCATTGAGCTTAACTTCAGTGATGTCATATGACAGTAGGATCATACACTGTGCAATCACAAGGGACATAGCATGCAGAATACGTTAACACTGTATTACTGCCTTGTGTTTCCATATATGGTCATACATATGCTGTTTGTTGCAGGAATGTTTGACCGAGACAACTCTGGAACAATAAACTTCCAGGAATTTACATCACTATGGAAATATGTCACAGACTGGCAAAACTGTTTCCGTAGTTACGACAGAGATAACTCAGGTTCCATTGACAAGAATGAGCTGAAGACAGCAATGACTAGTTTTGGTAAGAAAGACCTGCCAGGATATATGTACACTTCAGCTGCAAGTGAGATCAGTTGTGTAAATGTCACTGGTGACCTGGAAGGATAGAGTGATTATCTTCCTCATTATCTTGGATACTTAAACACTGCCTTCATTGCATCATATGATGTCGGAGACAGGCACTTATGAACCTGAAAGTTTCGTATTACTAGGTGAACAGGCTGGTGGACAGAATTATTCCCAGGACAGTTGGAGATACAACCTGACATGGTGGAGTGCAGGCTCCATGAGTCGGATCCTGCTTCACCTCAGACTCTCATCGTAATGTCGGGTCGGGATACACGCTGATCACAGCACATCCAACTTCCGCTGCTTATGTGGTCAAATTGGAAGGCTGGAAATCTCTCCTGACAAGATTCAGTTTTAGAATTCTCCTGAATTCTCAATGTTATTTGAAATATAATGCAAATCTCAGGACAAATTTAATTCAAGTATTTTTCACCCAACAACCATTTTCTTTCTTTAGGTTATCGACTATCAGATCGTTTCTATGAGATTTTGGTGAAGAAGTTTGACCGTCAGGGGCGGCGTGGCACAGTGGCGTTTGATGACTTCATACAGTGCTGTGTGGTGCTCCAGGTTGGTGTCGTGAAACTAACTTCTTATTGGCCACGTCAGACAATTGCCGCCGATACTAAGTTATACAAGACAGTTCATTTGTAAATGTGACCTTTATCTGTGGTCTCAATAAACTCGCTGAGTCAGCACCATGTTACTGGCGTTGAGGTGGAGCGTGTGGTCTCAGGATACTACCTGTGGCTTCACGGAGGTTGCAAACATTTAGTTCATGTTCCAGCAATACGTTGATTACCCTCCATATCAGCTGACCAGGTGTCATTGTTGAAATACAGTTAAAAATGGCAAAACGCTCCTTTTTATACAATCTTGAACAGAACCAACTTTCTCTTTCAGACGTTAACTGGTGCTTTCCGTGGCCACGACACAGATCAAGATGGATGGATAAGGATCACCTATGAGCAGTTTTTGACGCTGGTTTTCAGTCTTCGGAGTTAGCATGAAGACTTGATGCTGCCTACATTGATTCCGTATATGACTTGCTGCTCACAAGAATGTTATTTTATAACTTGTGGTTTACATGTTTTACGAGGATGTAACTGTGACCTGTAATTACTTTGTGAGGAAGATTTTGTTCACATTTGTTAGTTCATGTCTTTGAAATAAGAGTAATATATTGTAAACGTAACAAACAGATGTTCTACTCTTACAGGGTTTTGTTGAATTAGTTGGTCCAACATGATGCAGTGGTGTACCACCCCAGTCACTGCCTGTTTTGAAATGCATGTTGAGAGACTGTTCTGTAGTATTTCTTCAAGAAGAAAACATGTTAATGATCTCCTCCGTTGTCTCTAGTGATGCTGCTGGATGGACACAATTATTCTTCCTCACACTATCTTCCAATGTACTACCACTTGGGAGCTGTATCTTCAAGACACTACCGCCATATAGCTGGAATATTGCGGAGTGTGGCGTAAAACTAACACTACCATTCAGGAGCTGTACCTTTAATACCCTACGACTCGGGAGCTGTACCTACCCTACACTACCACTCTATAAAATCTACATCTCCACCTAGTTTTGAAACACTTCAGAACAGATTGGTTCTTTTGGACCACTCTTTGGCTTGCGTCTTTTAAGTTAGGTAATGTAGGGAAATTCATGCAATAATTTTAAGCTTGTCTCTGTCACTGTGAATAGTATGTACCTAGTGTAGACTGTAAATGTAGTTATACGTATGTGGCCTAATGTTTCTAGGACTTTTGTTGGAGAATGGCCATGTCTCAAGGACTGTTTTTGTTTCATCTGCTTGCATGTATCTAGCAGCAGCAGCAGCAGCCAGAGACCACAACTACAGAATGATCTGTGCGCTACAATAGTCAGAAGTATGATTCTTATGACAGAGCAAGTCAGTGATAGGTTACAGGAGTTACAATGATCGCAAGTCTATGTTTCAGTATGGGAATGACAATACACTGTTATTATGGAAGTCACTGATAGTTGATGGAACAGTTTCAGTATGTTGTCCAGGCCCACACAGCAATCATAATGCTACTACAGGCATTAGTACGGGCGTTATGATCACGCTAGCACCAACATCACTTGGTCATTGGTGGAATGAGGTATTGCTATAGTGACAGAACTTGCCTTGTTTTATATCTAAGATGGCTCTGCAACTGAGCTTCATAGTCCAATATGCTTAGCTCCTTCACCATCATGCGTTTAGAGAAATATCAGACACTCAGATTATTGAAATAATGATATATGGACCATTATTTTCAGGGCTCCAGATAAGGGCCGTATCAGCGTATGTACGGATAAAAAATATACATGATACGGTAAGAAATAATTTAGAAAACGTAGCAGATACGCAGCACTGCAATGGTGTACGGTTTTAGAATCATTTACAGACATATTTATCTGAAAAAGGATTCTTTATTGACCTGTTTACACAAGAGCAGCAACGTTGTGGTGCATAAAACGAAACACAAGATTACTGATACTCCACTAAATTCCATCCAGTTCTCTAAATGTACTCTTAAGGTTTTCCAGTACTCCTATATTGAAAAAATAAGGAGTATCACTCCTGATGTTGGAAAATTATCTGGAGCCCTGATTTTATAGTTAAGGAACCAAGGTACTTGGTGTGTAAATATCCAGGAACACCTTAATTATGAAGGGCTGTCAGCAGTGCTATCAGGCAGACGATAGAAGTGGACACCCAGTGGTACTTACGTGAACAGTTTCAAGCATTGTCATATTTATCTTATATTGTCAGAGCCTGTAAGGTATTCATGTGAGAGGCAGTTTTCGAATGAGTATTGCAGAAAAATTGGACAATTTTCTCTTCGGTCGATATACCAGTTAAATGTCACATTATATCCAGAAACTGTAGTCCTAGTTGAAGTTGTGTGTAGTCAGGTAATAACTACTACTCATCACCTGACAAGTAAGGCCGGTTCTCAGGGACGGACCACAGAATGATTCCATCCTCTCCTCGCTGATCAGACTATCCTGCACGTGTGGTTACCAGTGAATTATCACTACATTGTAGTGGCGTGTATAATACAATCAAGGACCAAGCTCCACAGTATAGAATAGGCCAGATATGGATCAACAATAGTAATGATTCATTATTTGGAACTATCAGAATGATCTTTTACTTGCATGTCATTTGTGTAGAGTATTGTGATTTATGAAGCTCTGATGTGTAGAAGAGAATGACATTGTCCAGTAATCTTGCAGAGACAATGTCCAAAGCACGAGAAAATTATACCATTCTTTTTATAATAAATCTTTCTACATTTACTTCCAAGTTGTTTTCATTTGACAAGACACCAAGTTTATGACCAACTAGAACTCACTGCTCACCAGCACACACCCTGTGGGGGATTCTTCGTTAAAGTATCACCCCAGCAACAAGCTGGTTGTAGGAGGCGACTGATTGGGCAGCCAGATTCCGGGTCTTGGTTGATAGCACACTACACACAGCAGTGTTACAGCACACTACAGTATGACCAGAAATTGAGAATTTTAGGAATATGTTTAATTGGATTTCTAGTATAAACAACCTTGACCAGCTATCAAGTGCTTGGTTTCATTCAAGAGAGACAACTCCGTTAATCCTTTTTCATCAGTTTGTGAAGTTATCCCCCTTTGTTTACTTGCTAGCAGACGACATTTTCAGTGATCCTCAGTATGGATGATTTAGAGAAGAGGAAGTTGATTTTAGAGTATTATAACAAGGACATCAGATCAGCTAAAGTGATTTCAAGTAGAACAGGCATCCGTTTCTCCACTGTTTATCGTGTTTTGAAAAATATTGCAAATGGATATGGCATTGAGCACCAGGGAGGCGCAGGTAGGCCTAGAAAATTGACTGTCGGTGACATGAGGCGGCTTGGTATTATTGTTTCTAAAAACAAACGAATGATTTTAGAAAACTTAAGGCTGGATATGATTGATAGAGGAATTGTGGCTGTCTGTAAGGAGACAATTAGAACTGAGCTGCATGCAATGGGTTGGCAGAAAAGTCGAGGAATTCTATCACCGATCATGAAACCTGAACAAAAGGAGCGAAGGTTGAACTGGTGCTTACAGCATAGAAATTTTAACTGGGACAATGTGATTTTCTCAGATGAAAGTTCTGTGTGGCTGTTTCCTAATACACTGAAATTCTGGACCAAATAAACTGAAAAACCTTTGTATCAGTGCCCAAAGTACAGTCCGAAATTTGACGTGTGTGGTGGCATATCTGTGTTAGGGGCAACACCCCTCTGTGTGTTTGAAGGGAATATGAACAGTGAGCGGTACAAAGATATTCTCGAGGGACATTTACTTCCATCTGCTCACGTGTTCTATGGAAATATTTGGATTTTCCAGCAGGACAACCCAAAACATCGTTCAAAGCATTCACAGGCCTGGTTTTGGACCCAAAATATGACATTATTAGATTGGCCAAGCTATAGCCCTGACCTAAATCAAATAGAAAATGTTTGGGGACTTATGAAAGAAAGTGTCAATAAAAAAAATCTGACAAATATTGCTGAAATGAAAGAAGAGGTGGTCCGATATTGGGACAGCATTGAAGCCTGCATTGCTGCCCATGGTGACTTGACAAAATACTAACTGTTCACCTGTCTTTGAATCTGGAGTTATGTTCTGCTAATATTCACATTAATAAGTGAGTAATGAGTGAATATTTTTGACAAAATTACAATCTTTAAATTCTCAATAATTTCTGGTTGTACTGTACATACAGCACACTCCACACAGCAGTGTTACAGCACACTCCATACAGCAGTGTTACAGCACACTCCACACAGCACTGTTACAGCACACAGCAGTGTTACAGCACACTACACACAGCAGTGTTACAGCACACCACACAGCAGTGTTACAGCACACTCCACACAGCAGTGTTACAGCACACCACACACAGCAGTGTTACAGCACACAGCAGTGTTACAGCACAGCACACACACACACAGCACACACAGCAGTGTTACAGCACACTACACACAGCAGTGTTACAGCACACCACACAGCAGTGTTACAGCACACCACACACAGCAGTGTGTTACAGCACACACACACACAGCAGTGTTAGCAGCACACACACACACAGCAGTGTTACAGCACACTACAGCACACCACACACAGCTGTGTGTTTACAGCACACCACACACAGCAGTGTTAGCAGCGTGTTGTGTTACAGCACACACACAGCAGTGTTACACAGCAGTGTTACACACACACACAGCAGTGTTACAGCACACTACACACAGCAGTGTTACAGTACACAACACAGCGGTGTTACAGCACACAACACATAGCAGTGTTACAGCACACAGCAGTGTTACAGCACACTCCACACAGCAGTGTTACAGCACACTACACACAGCAGTGTTACAGCACACAACACACAGCAGTGTTACAGCACACTCCACACATCAGTGTTACAGCACACTCCACACAGCAGTGTTACAGCACACCACACACAGCAGTGTTACAGCACCACACACAGCAGTGTTACAGCACACTATCTCCACACAGCAGTGTTACACCACACACACAGTTACAGCACACTACACACAGCAGTGTTACAGCACACCACACACAGCAGTGTTACAGCACACTCCACACATCAGTGTTACAGCACACCACACACATCAGTGTTACAGCACACAGCAGTGTTACAGCACACCACACACAGCAGTGTTACAGCACACTACACACAGCAGTGTTACAGCACACTACACACAGCAGTGTTACAGCACACTACACACAGCAGTGTTACAGCAGTTCTAAACACAGTGATGTTCAGCCTCCATTTATTGAACAGATCTGTACAAATAGTGTCATCATTTGACATGGATCATACCTATGTACAAGTGAAAAAGGTGGTCACTATGGCAACAAATACATTTAAAACAAGGTGATATGTCACATTTCAAAGTAGATGAATGTTTACCAAAATGAAATCATTGTTCAATCCCCTGATGTCTTTGACGCATAGAATATTTTAACAGTGATTACTAGTATCTCGTACTCAGGGTATTACACTACTCAGACTGTCTAGCATGGACACCGAAACAAATACATATTGCATACTAGGACTACTATTGTTCATTAAGCCAAATTCTTAACATTAAATATCAGGGTTTGGTCATTAAAGCAACTATCAAATCTTTTATACCCAACATATGAAACATCCTACATTTTCAACTGCATCAGTCTAGCGGGCTGGGTAGCATTTCTCCCTATTTACGGCACCCTCATACTTATAAAAACATCTTGATATTCATGGTGTGGCATCCGACACATAACTTAGTGGGTCAAGGCAAAACCCTGCGCACCTGTGTAGTAAATATATGCTTGTCTCATTAAAACTAGAATCCCGTTGTTCCTGGTTCCAGGGTGTATTTACTGAAACCTAAAACAAGAAAATAATTCCCATATAAACATAAATGTCTCAGTCAACACACAGTAATGTTGGGATGTGGTAATATTTTCAATTGTTTTATACATATAGTTTTTATACAATTTATCACAGTAACATTTAAGGAAATGTAATCTAAAACAAGATTCTAATAATGTGTAAATTGACAGGAATGAAAGTTGTTCATATGATTGACAAGAGTAACTTGGGTATATTGTACATCAAAGATTTCAAAATAGTGACAGTTGAGATCCTGTGAGAAGGGACATTGTGCAAGACTGGTCCCTCTGTCCCCGAGTCTGACATGTCAGCTACAGAGGTGACAACCTTCAGCACACTCCTATGTTGGGGACTAACTATGCTTCACTCTCAGGTGAAGTCCTTCATCTCCTCAAACTGACGGTCCACTGTTCCAGAGGTGGTGCACAAACTTGTCTAATGTAATGTTATATAGGTCAATCTCGGGTCAAGTCCTCTCTCTCCTTGAACTGAAGGTCCACTGTTTTAGACAGATACTCCACAAAGTTGTCCAGGGTCACAGTAGGTCTCTACACAAACAGAAGAAAAACATACCACATTATACTAGGTATCAGCAAGATATTGGGGGCTAGGAGGTCACCTGCCTCGACCAGAAGACACGGAAGGGACACTATATATCCGTGTATTCTTGTGAAAAATTCAACAAACAAACCTTATCTATGATTTAAGACATTTCAAAGTGAGGTTTAAAAGAAGTCACATATATACATACACATGGGGGGGGGTTAAAAAAGTATTGCAACATCCTTCATTTTACATAGTATCAATATTTTACCATAAACCATAGCAAAGGAACTTTTACAAACTAAACTGGTGAAAGCCTGAGACGTCTTCGGTGGCAATGTCTCTGAGGTAGTGTCCGATTTCCAAAAGCAGCCCTCCATTATAGTTGTAATCGAGCAGTTTCCATGCAGAGCAAGTGTAGACGCCAGGGCTCTGACTTCGTGGGGATTGGAGGCTTGTCGAACCTCAAGTCCTGCTGCTTTGTAGGCCCTTAGTATAACGGCTCTCATCCATATCGATATCGTTGTCCTTGAGACTTCCGTGGGCGTCTCAGTGGATAAGGGGATGAATAGGCGCTTGAAATTTTCGTTTCCTTGTTTTTGTCCTTTGTAGGTAGACTTTCAGTGCTCTGACAGGGCATAAGGATAAATCCTGTGTATCCTGTGGCCCAAGGACTGTAGAGAGTGCTGGCATGTGGAACCGTCTGTCAGGCTGGTTGGACGGTTGGTTCTTGGCAATAAAGTCCCATCTCAGTCCTAGATGTAGAGCATGTATTTCTGACATCCGTGCTGCTGTTGCTAGGGGGCGACCAAAATCAGTTGCAGCGTTGTCGTCTGCTTGATTTTCTGTATTACTTGTGATAATAGTGCTGGAGGTGGAAAACGCAGCGTTTAGTCCTTCCCATGAGATGCTTAAAGCATCTGTTGACCATGCCTGAGGATCCGGACTCAGTGAGACGAATGTTGGTAGTTGCTTGTTGAACTTTGTTGCAAACAGGTCTATCAGTGGCGAGCCTATTGTCGACGATGCTGAACAGGAGAAAGCTGAGTTGTAGCAGATTTGTTGATCTTGTTGATCCTTGTTTATTGATGTAGAACGCTACTGTGGAGCTGTCCGTGTGGACCGTAACCCTTGCGTTCTTTAGTACACTGGACCAGTGTTGTAAAGCGTTGATCACTGCTTTCATCTCCAACAGGTTGATGTGCAGATTCTGATCCTGACTCGACCACTTCCCTGCTGCCACTTCGTTGTCGAGGTGGGCAACCCATCCTTATAGTGATGCATCCACGTAGAGATGAGTGTTGCAAACCAGCTCTGACAAAAAGGTTCCTCCGCAAACATTCGACTTCTGAGTCCACCATAGGAGGTATGGCTTCAGGCTGTCTGGTAGTACCAGCAGATCCAGACTGTCGAGATGAGCGTTCACAAATATTTGTAGTGGACGCAGTTGTAATCTCCCTCTGCGAGTCATGTCTTGAGCTGAGGTGAGTAGACCGAGCATGCTTTGCCAAGCACGTAGTGTCAACAGGGAGAGCATTACTTGAGATATCATATGTTTTATCTTGACCCAATGATCCTCTGGGACAACTATCCGATTCTCTATCTTGTAAGTTCTATAGCGGGAGTCGATGATCATATAGTCCTCATCAATCTCTGGTGCCTTCAGGAAGGGTTCCATGTGATGAAGGGGGAATCTCCTGGCGTTGAATGTAGGGATATGCTGATTCTGGAACTTGGTAGCCTTATCAAAGGCTGAGCTGAGACTGTCCAATACTTGGGAGATCCACAACGACGTGAGTCTCTGTATGAAGATCTGTATGACGACCTGCGCGCAGGTGAACGATCCCGATGTGATCATGTATCCTTCCTGGAGTCTTAAGATCTCTCTCTAGGTCTTCGCGAAGGTTGATTCTTAGGCGAAGTTTCCCCTCTATGAGATGTGGAGTGCCTGCGTGTAGGTTCCTGATGTGCGTCTGAGTCCGATGGTGATGACGACCCGTATCTACGACATCTGTAGGGTTCGGGAGAACGCTGCGATCTGCTTCTGCGTGGAGAATTCTTAGCAGCTCCTTCAGGGACGTCTAAGGCTGAGCTGACGTTGGTAACGTTGTCCAGGCTCCTAACTTCAGATGGGGAAGATCGTCGGGTGCGTGAGCCTTCACGCAGGCTTCCCTCTTCTTCCAAGTGTGTTGGAGAGACTGTTGAATCTTCACGCAGGCTAGTAGTCATCGTAGTGGTCTTCGTAGCAGCTTTCTCCTGCGCGAAGCGCCGTTCCATCATCGACATCATCTGGTCTGTAAACTGTTGCATAAACAGCCCCGGGTTGAAGTTCTGCGATGTCTGGAGAGACTGCTGCAGGGTTGATGATGCTTCTGACAACGATGAGGCGTCTTCTAAGGCACGCAGCACTTGTGAAGAGTTGATGCTGCTGCTATCTCTGGTGCCCGATGTCTGCGTTGATAGAAGGTCTTCTGTCAATGTCTGCGCTGATAAAGTTGCCGATGTAGCTGTAGAAGCAGGCTTCGTCTTCTTGCTGACGACTGTGACCTCAGGTATGAGGATCATCATACACGTCTGCTTCTTCCGGAGGTACAATCTCGGCAGAGAAGCCTCTCGTCTTCTGCGTAGAGTTGCACTCGACGAAGTCTTAGGGGTAGTAGCCTTCTTCTTCTGCGTTGAATACGATCTAGTCTTCTTCGTCTGTGAAGAGGTCAGCTCCATTGACGACGATCTCTTATTAGCTCCAGAGTTCATCACTGGAACAGCGACCTGCCCCTGTAAAACGCTCGGCAATTCACTGGAATTATGAACATCGGCAGCAGTAGTTATAACACACAGTTATCAGCGCAATCACTTGATTTAGACATGACTTGTGAATACCTTCTTACCCTGTCCTTTGCACGTGTATGAATGGAAAAAAGGTAGTTATTAAATTCAAAAGTGGTTAAATTCAGACAATGTTTACAGCGAGAGCTGAAAGAACATGAAGTAGTGCAATCAGGACATAATAAATGTGGGTCAGCCGCAGCCAGTCGGTACCTACAACGAATACAAGTTTTCATCAAATGTAAACACGATGAAAAAACATGTCAAACAACGAATAATTTAGATCAAATTTCAAACCATATAGTAGAATACAATCCTAAAAAACGTATACAGCAATAATTTTGATGTAAAGGTCCAAAAGAGAAAAGGATATGTGCCGTATAGGGACCCAGGTGCTCTCACAACCGTCCTCAAGGGCGAAAAAGGAGAGAGTGACAAACATGGCTGTCATGTGATACAAAATTGCCAAAAAGGAGGCAAGGGAGACTACTCGTGGGTTAGTGATGATTTTACGTCCGCTTTTTAAAGGGGACTTCAAGGGATTTCAAGTGTTCCACTATCATTTGCAAGAAGAAGGAGACAAGTATTTAGCATGAGTCAGGATAAGGAAAAATTCAATGTATCATGTATGATGCAGAGCTACAGATAACTTTTTTGGGTCATTGAGTTATGTACTCGCTTGTGTTCATATAAATCAAATAAAGTGTACCCATCTCACTCAAACTCAATTGGGTATTTTGCCATTTCCCATCAATTTTGAAAATATAATAAAGTTAAAATGTTAGTGTTAGTTATTTATATTTGATCTGTAATATGAGAAACGATAAGAAAGACTGCAAGTTGCCAAGTTCATGTGTTGAAATAGAACCTCCCAGTATACTTCAGTTATTTTATGTATGCACCGGTACGCAAGCTAAGATTCGACATTTTTGTGTGTAAGCATGTAAGATCAAATTTATTGAGTATTTACAAAAATTTAGCTAATCCTGTAGAGGTTTCCAATTCTTTGAAGAGAATCGTCCTTGGGGTACATATATGCCTTTTTAGCGGCGGAAAATGTCATGTGACAGTTGCATCAATCTTTTAATAAAAATATTGTACAATAAATAATAATCTTTTTTATCTATTACCCCATACAGCCCCCACCAAGTGGAGTTACCTTCTTGCTACGCATGCGCAGCCAACCAGGTAAGCACCTAGGCCCGTATCATCATTCCTTCTGCTGTATAAATCAGTGAACAGAATTGCGGGGAGGTGGGTGGCCCTACCCCAAAGACGATTCTCTTCAAAGAATTGGAAACCTCTACAGGTTTAGCTCATTCTTTTTCATAGAGATCGTCCTTGGGGTACACATATGCATTAACTCAGACTCCCAAAGACCGGAGGCTAGGGAGGAGGGAATTCTGTCAAAGTACACATAAATAGCGATCGTTAGGAAGAATGTAACAGATGTCACAACACTCACCTATCACGTGTCCCGAAGCTTCCGCGAGAGGCATGATGGGAGGGTAACCGACAGAGAGGAAAGTACTGAGACCCGACCTCACAGGTTAAGCAAAGTAATACGCACACAGTGCAAAAGTAAAAACCCCGCCCACATCGTGAATCTATTAAAGAGCACCGAAAGGGGGAAAACCAACTCACAACCGACTATAATCTCATGAGAGAAATCGAAAGTAGTTAGATATGATAACAGCGGATATATCAATTATACACAATTGAAAGCAGCATCAACTGTCCAGATAACGAAGACTCACTCGGTCAGGGTGGCAGGACACTGTCCACAGGAGAGAACAGAACGGCCAAAACACACATGATCACGAGAATGTGTATCGAGCTGAGAGTGCCTGATAAAAGTGCTAGGCCTGCTCCAAATAGCAGCAGAGCATACCTCTTCAATGGGCAGTGCCGATGCAAAAGCCTTTGAAGTGGCCACTGCCCTGACCGAGTGAGCCTTCAACCCCTCAGGGGGAGGCTTGCCCTTAGCCTGATAAGCAGCACAAATGACCGACACAAGCCAGCGTGATAGGGTCTGTTTGCTCGCCGGCATGCCAGCCTTCCCGCCACCGTAACAGCAGAACAGATGGGTACCCGTACGGATCCCTTGTGTTCGTTTGATATTGACCTTGAGAGTCTTAGGGACATCCAACGGGTGAGTGCTCGTTGCAGAGGTCCCCGATGTGGAAGGCTGGGTAAGAGTAGGAAGTTCGATAGGAGCTGTCACATGGAAAGCGTGATCGATCTTCGGGCGGTAAGTATCCGGGAGGCGAATACTGACACGATCTGGATGGAACACAGTCAGCGCCGGGTCTGCCGACATAGCATGTAAGTCGCCAACCCTTCGCCCAGATGTTACCGCCACCAGAAATACGGCCTTCCATGTTAACAGCTGAATGGAAATAGTCGATAGACGCGAAAACGTAGGACCGGACAGCCAATCTAGCACGATTGACAAATCCCAAGGTGGGCTGGTTCACCTGACAGCAGGTTGAACCCGATCCACGCCAGCTAAAAAGCGCTGCATAAGAGTGCTGCCCCAGAAGAGCACCATTGACAAGGGTGTGGAAAGTTGACATAGCGGTGGAGTAGCCACGAATGGTCGAAGCCGCAAAGCTTCTTCCAAACGAGCTTGCAAAAACTCCAATACTCGGACTAAATCCACAGAAAAGGGATCTGCAATCCCCCTATCTGAACACCAGCGCACATAGCGGGACCACCTATCCTCATATTAAACATTTGTCGAATCCCACCTCGAAGCCAGAATTGTGTCTGCAACTGCTGCAGGAAGTCCCATGCTTCGAGGCTAGACCTGACAGAGGCCAAGCCACCCACTGAATCCTTGGATTGGGGTATGGCGCGCCGTTCTGAGTGAGAATGTCCGGTCGCAAAGGTAATAGAACATGAGGCTGAGCCAGAAACCTGAGAATTACCGGAAACCAGCTCTGTGACAGCCATAGCTGTGCCAGTAGCACAAGTAGCCAAGCTGGCTGGGTGGACAGCTGGGAGAGGACCCGGGGGAATGAGTGGTAGAGGCGGAAACGCCCACAGCACCTTGCCCATCAAATCAGCAGGAAGGCGTTGGAAGCCAACACCCTCTGGTCCAGTATTCGAGAGCAGAACACGGGTATCTGATTCGTCCCGCCGGATGCAAAAAGATCCACCGGGAACGATCCGTACAACTGGGAGATAACTCCGAATATCTGCCAGTCGAGCATCCACTCGTGCGGGGCCAGGATCTGGCGAGAGGGTTCTCCAGCCCCGGGAGATAAACAGGAATCACCTGACAGTTGCACTGGTCACACCAGAGGAGAAATTCCCACGACTCCCGAAGGAGCACTAGGGACACCGTGCCGCCTTGCTTTAGGATGTACGTCATGGCCGTACGGTTGTCCAACTGAAAATGAGCCACCTGGCCCTGAACATGCTCCCGGAAGGGCTCGAAAACCAACAGCACAGCTCTCAGTTCTAAGACGTTGATGTGAAGGCGGGCTTCAGCTTCGACACCGAAAGACTGCCCAGAACACCCCCCTGTAAGAGCTGACGTCAGGATTTCCAAAGGGACCCCTTGGAGAGATTCCAGACATTGGTCCACCACTGAAGGTGAGGAGACAACCACCCGGGGACTGTGAGACACTTCTCCAGATCCTCCGAGTGAGCCCACAGACTCGCCAAAGCTTGCTGTATAGGGTGCATCCTCATGTGAGTTGTGAACCACGCCCCGAGAAAAAACAAGTCCTGGGTGGGTACCAGGTCGGATGTCTTGATAATGCAATATTTCAACCACGTGGCATGCTAAAACTTCCCGCTATGGAATAGCAACACGTGCGTAAACCACGGGAAAGCTAGCGTAAAAGTTTAATTCAAAGTCACATAAATGAGAAATAACAGACTGCAAAGTCCATAAAACGTTTTTTCAAAACGAATAAAGACCATACATACAGTTGTTGAGGTCTCAGACATTCTTCTACAAGAAGTAAATCAGCTAGTAACTCAGGTTGGAAATACGTGTGAACGCTTGAGTGACAGCAGAAGAAATGATGATATGGGCCTAGGCGCTTACCTGGTTGGCTGCGCATGCGTAGCAGGGAGGTAACTCCACGTGGTGGGGGCCGTATAATAGTTAAAAAAGATTTGTATTTATTGTACAATATTTTTATTAAAACATTGATACAACCGTCACGATATTTTCAGCCGCAGAAAATGCATATATGTACCCCAAGGAGGATCTCTATGAAAAAGAATCAAGTGTACTTGTATGCAATAGACTTAGTAAGAATTGAGCTTTCACTTAAATATTTGCGTAATTTACACAGATAGGCAGCTTATCTGTACTTCTGATGATGTGCTCGAAAAGTCAAAATAATCATAAGAACATTATAATGATATGAATATTAATGGGAGTATGGGGTTTAAAAATCATGGGTGTTGCTATATTTGTTTCCATGTGTATATAATCCTATTAAAGAGGGCAAAGGATAACCTTTCAGACAGGAATTGGGTTTATATGGTGCATGAAAAGCCAGGTAGTCCCACAGATGGGGACCAGCTACCTGGAGAATTTACCTGCACAAACATGGCGTGGGCAATAAAAGGGAGTTTCCGCAGGGTCCTTCCACTCAAACCTTGGCTCTTGCTGTGGAAGAAAGCAACATCATTGTGAGTGAGTCAACATTGTACATCACATCAGAACTTCTTCATCAACAAGTGAAGTAGTGACAAGCATACACATGACGTGACATCTCACTCAATAATACAGACTCTACAAAGTGGCCATCTTTCCTCCAAACCTGGCGGCCAACTGGTGATCAGGTTGTCATGACAACTGGTCACCCCTATCCATCCAAACACTGGCTATTTCCCTGCTTGTTCCAACAATCAGTCTTCTACACATTCCAGTAATAATGATAACAATCATACAAACAGTCATGTCAGTCCAAACATGGCATCCTTGACATCTGCTGACAATAATTGTAATATATGATGCATGTCTTTATGTTAACCCAGACAATTTGAGAGTGAGTGAGTATGGTTTCACGACACTTTTAGCAATATTCCAGCAACATCACAGTGGGGGACACCAGAAATGGGCTTCATACATTGTACCCATGTGGGGAATCGAACTCGGGGCTTTGGCGTGACGAGCCAATGCCTTAACCACTAGGCTACCGCACCACCCCAGACAATTTGAGAAAGGGACAAAAGGAGGAATGTGGTTTCTTTGTATAAATACATGACAGGATCTCATCTTATTATCTTAACGTAACACACAATGTTCCTACACCATTTTCATATTGATTTCTTACATTGCGACATTCCTGAGGTGCAGACTGAGTCTAGTGGCGTCGTTTTCTATAAACCTCATCACCTCCAGGTCTCGGAGGTCCAGCAGCTGCTGGGCAGGGCTGATTATCCCGGACTGAAACACACCAGTAGAACACGAGGCTACAGAAAACAGTAGAACATGAGGCTACAGAAAACAGCAGAACATGAGGCTACAGGAAACAGTAGAACATGAGAATACAGAAAACAGTAGAACATGAGCATACAGAAAACAGTAGAACATGAGCATACAGGAAACAGTAGAACATGAGCATACAGAAAACAGTAGAACACGAGGCTACAGGAAACAGTAGGACACAAGGCTTCAGAAAACAGTAGAACAAGGCTACAGCAAACACGACACGAGGCTACAGAAAACAGTAGAACAAGAGGCTACAGAAAACAGTAGAACATGAGCATACAGAAAACAGTAGAACACGAGCATACAGAAAACAGTAGAACATGAGCCTACAAAAAACAGTCAAACATGAGCATACAGAAAACAGTAGAACACGAGCATACAGAAAACAGTAGAACAAGAGCATACAGAAAACAGTCGAACACAAGGCTACAGAAAACAGTAGAACATGAGGCTACAGAAAACAGTAGAACATGAGGCTACAGAAAACAGAACATGAGGCTACAGAAAACAGTAGAACACAAGGCTACAGAAAACAGTAGAACATGAGGCTACAGAAAACAGTAGAACATGAGCCTACAGAAAACAGTAGAACATGAGCATACAGAAAACAGTCGAACACAAGGCTACAGAAAACAGTAGAACACGAGGCTACAGAAAACAGTAGAACATGAGGCTACAGAAAACAGCAGAACATGAGGCTACAGAAAACAGTAGAACACAAGGCTACAGAAAACAGTAGAACATGAGGCTACAGAAAACAGTAGAACATGAGCATACAGAAAACAGTAGAACATGAGCATACAGAAAACAGTAGAACATGAGGCTACAGAAAACAATAAAACATGAGGCTACAGAAAACAGTAGAACACAAGGAAACAGTAGAACACGAGGCTACAGAAAACAGTAGAACATGCGCATACAGAAAACAGTAGAACATGAGCCTACAGGAAACAGTAGAACATGAGCATACAGAAAACAGTAGAACAAGAGCATACAGAAAACAGTCGAACACAAGGCTACAGAAAACAGTAGAACATGAGGCTACAGAAAACAGTAGAACACGAGCATACAGAAAACAGTAGAACAAGAGCATACAGAAAACAGTCGAACACAAGGCTACAGAAAACAGTAGAACATGAGGCTACAGAAAACAGTAGAACATGAGGCTACAGAAAACAGAACATGAGGCTACAGAAAACAGTAGAACACAAGGCTACAGAAAACAGTAGAACATGAGGCTACAGAAAACAGTAGAACATGAGCCTACAGAAAACAGTAGAACATGAGCATACAGAAAACAGTCGAACACAAGGCTACAGAAAACAGTAGAACAACAAGGCTACAGAAAACAGTAGAACATGAGGCTACAGAAAACAGCAGAACATGAGGCTACAGAAAACAGTAGAACACAAGGCTACAGAAAACAGTAGAACATGAGGCTACAGAAAACAGTAGAACATGAGCATACAGAAAACAGTAGAACATGAGCATACAGAAAACAGTAGAACATGAGGCTACAGAAAACAATAAAACATGAGGCTACAGAAAACAGTAGAACACAAGGAAACAGTAGAACACGAGGCTACAGAAAACAGTAGAACATGCGCATACAGAAAACAGTAGAACATGAGCCTACAGGAAACAGTAGAACATGAGCATACAGAAAACAGTAGAACATGAGGCTACAGAAAACAGTAGAACACGAGGCTACAGAAAACAGTAGAACACAAGGAAACAGAAAACAGTAGAACACGAGGCTACAGAAAACAGTAGGACATGAGCATACAGAAAACAGTAGACCACAAGGAAACAGGAAACAGAACACAAGGAAACAGAAAACAGTAGAACACAAGGAAACAGGAAACAGCAGAACACAAGGAAACAGAAAACAGTACAACATGAGGCTACAGAAAACAGTAGAACACAAGGAAACAGGAAACAGTAGAACACGAGGCTACAGAAAACAGTAGAACATGAGGCTACAGGAAATAGTAGAACACAAGGAAACAGAAAACAGTAGAACACGAGGCTACAGAAAACAGTAGAATCACGAGGCTACAGAAAACAGTAGAACACAAGGAAACAGGAAACAGTAGAACACGAGGCTACAGAAAACAGTAGAACATGAGGCTACAGAAAACAGTAGAACACAAGGAAACAGGAAACAGTAGAACACAAGGAAACAGAAAACAGTAGAACACGAGGCTACAGAAAACAGTACAACACAAGGAAACAGGAAACAGTAGAACACGAGGCTACAGAAAACAGTAGAACATGAGGCTACAGGAAATAGTAGAACACAAGGAAACAGAAAACAGTAGAACATGAGGCTACAGAAAACAGTAGAACACAAGGAAACAGGAAACAGTAGAACACGAGGCTACAGAAAACAGTAGAACATGAGGCTACAGAAAACAGTAGAACACAAGGAAACTGTAGAACACAAGGAAACAGAAAACAGTAGAACACAAGGAAACAGGAAACAGTAGAACACGAGGCTACAGAAAACAGTAGAACATGAGGTTACAGAAAACAGTAGAACATGAGGCTACAGAAAACAGTAGAAAACAAGGAAAAAGGAAACAGTAGAACACAAGGAAACAGAAAACAGTAGAACATGAGGCTACAGAAAACAGAAGAACACGAGGCTACAAAAAACAATAAAACACGAGGCTACAGAAAACAGTAGAACACAAGGAAACAGAAAAGAGTAGAACACGAGGCTACAGAAAACAGTAGAACACGAGGCTACAGAAAACAGTGGAACACGAGGCTACAGAAAACAGTAGAACACAAGGAAACAGGAAACAGTAGAACACGAGGCTACAGAAAACAGTAGAACATGAGGCTACAGGAAATAGAACACAAGGCTACAGAAAAGAGTAGAACATGAGGCTACAGGAAACAGTAGAACACAAAGCTACAGGAAACAGTAGAACACGAGGCTACAGGAAGCAGTAGAACACGAGGCTACAGGAAACAATAGAACATGAGCGTACAGAAAACAGTAGAACACAAGGCTACAGAAAACAGTAGAACATGAGGCTACAGAAAACAGTAGAACATGAGCATACAGAAAACAGAACATGAGCCTACAGAAATAAGAACATGAGGCTACAGAAAACAGTAGAACATGAGCATACAGAAAACAGTAGAACATGAGCATACAGAAAACAGTAGAACATGAGGCTACAGAAAACAATAAAACATGAGGCTACAGAAAACAGTAGAACACAAGGAAACAGTAGAACACGGGGCTACAGAAAACAGTAGAACATGAGCATACAGAAAACAGTAGAACATGAGGCTACAGAAAACAGTAGAACACGAGGCTACAGAAAACAGTAGAACATGAGGCTACAGAAAACAATAAAACACGAGGCTACAGAAAACAGTAGAACACAAGGAAACAGGAAACAATACAACATGAGCATACAGAAAATAGTAGAACACAAGGCTACAGAAAAGAGTAGAACATGAGGCTACAGGAAACAGTAGAACACGAGGCTACAGGAAACAATAGAAAATGAGCATACAGAAAATAGTAGAACACAAAGCTACAGAAAAGAGTAGAACACAAGGCTACAGGAAACAGTAGAACACGAGGCTACAGGAAACAGTAGAACACGAGGCTACAGAAAACAGTAGAACACGAGGCTACAGAAAACGATCCTTGGCAGCATCTGGAAAGTACATTACACTGCAACCTTGTAACAGCACAATACAGAATCCACCCACAGTACAGCTGTGTAGTGGTAGTTTCAGCTGCATGGTCAAGGCTACAGTACAGCTGTGTAGTGGTAGTTTCAGCTGTATGGTCAAGGCTACAGTACAGCTGTGTAGTGGTAGTTTCAGCTGTATGGTCAAGGTTACTGTACAGCTGGGTAGAGGTAGTTTCAGCTGTATGGTCAAGGCTACACTGCAGCTGTGTAGAGGCAGTTTCAGCTGTATGGTCAATGCTACAGTGCAGGGTGTGTAGTGGTAGGTTCAGCTGTATGGTCAAGGTTACTGTACAGCTGGGTAGAGGTAGTTTCAGCTGTATGGTCAAGGCTACACTACAGCTGTGTAGAGGCAGTTTCAGCTGTATGGTCAATGCTACAGTGCAGGGTGTGTAGTGGTAGGTTCAGCTGTATGGTCAATGCTACAGTGCAGGATGTGTAGTGGTAGTTTCAGCTGTATGGTCAAGGCTACAGTACAGCTGTGTACTGGCAGTTTCAGCTGTATGTCAAGGCTACAATGCAGGATGTGTAGAGGTAGTTTCAGCTGTATGGTCAATGCTACACTGCAGCTGTGTAGTGGTAGTTTCAGCTGTATGGTCAATGCTACAGTGCAGGATGTGTAGTGGTAGTTTCAGCTATATGGTCAATGCTACAGTGCAGCTGTGTAGTGGTAGTTTCAGCTGTATGGTCAATGCTACAGTGCAGGATGCGTAGTGGTAGTTCCAGCTGTATGGTCAATGCTACACTGCAGCTGTGTAGTGGTAGTTTCAGCTGTATGGTCAAGGCTACAGTGCAGGATGTGTAGTGGTAGTTTCAGCTGTATGGTCAATGCTACACTGCAGCTGTGTAGTGGTAGTTTCAGCTGTATGGTCAATGCTACAGTGCAGGATGTGTAGTGGTAGTTTCAGCTGTATGGTCAATGCTACAGTAAAGCTGTGTAGTGGTAGTTTCAGCTGTATGGTCAAGGCTACAGTGCAGGATGTGTAGTGGTAGTTCCAGCTGTATGGTCAAGGCTACAGTGCAGGATGTGTAGTGGTAGTTTCAGCTGTATGGTCAAGGCTACACTGCAGCTGTGTAGTGGTAGTTTCAGCTGTATGGTCAATGCTACAGTGCAGGATGTGTAGTGGTAGTTTCAGCTGTATGGTCAAGGTTACTGTACAGCTGGGTAGAGGTAGTTTCAGCTGTATGGTCAAGGCTACACTACAGCTGTGTAGAGGCAGTTTCAGCTGTATGGTCAATGCTACAGTGCAGGATGTGTAGAGGTAGTTTCAGCTGTATGGTCAATGCTACAGTGCAGCTGTGTAGTGGTAGTTTCAGCTGTATGGTCAATGCTACAGTGCAGGATGTGTAGTGGTAGTTCCAGCTGTATGGTCAAGGCTACAGTGCAGGATGTGTAGTGGTAGTTTCAGCTGTATGGTCAAGGCTACACTGCAGCTGTGTAGTGGTAGTTTCAGCTGTATGGTCAATGCTACAGTGCAGGATGTGTAGTGGTAGTTTCAGCTGTATGGTCAAGGTTACTGTACAGCTGGGTAGAGGTAGTTTCAGCTGTATGGTCAAGGCTACACTACAGCTGTGTAGAGGCAGTTTCAGCTGTATGGTCAATGCTACAGTGCAGGATGTGTAGTGGTAGTTTCAGCTGTATGGTCAATGCTACAGTGCAGGATGTGTAGTGGTAGTTTCAGCTGTATGGTCAAGGCTACAGTACAGCTGTGTAATGGCAGTTTCAGCTGTATGTCAAGGCTACAATGCAGGATGTGTAGAAGTAGTTTCAGCTGTACGGTCAATGCTACACTGCAGCTGTGTAGTGGTAGTTTCAGCTGTATGGTAAATGCTACAGTGCAGGATGTGTAGTGGTAGTTTCAGCTATATGGTCAAGGATACAGTGCAGCTGTGTAGTGGTAGTTTCAGCTGTATGGTCAATGCTACACTGCAGCTGTGTAGTGGTAGTTTCAGCTGTATGGTCAATGCTACAGTGCAGGATGTGTAGTGGTAGTTTCAGCTATATGGTCAAGGATACAGTGCAGCTGTGTAGTGGTAGTTTCAGCTGTATGGTCAAGGCTACAGTGCAGGATGTGTAGTGGTAGTTCCAGCTGTATGGTCAATGCTACAGTGCAGCTGTGTAGTGGTAGTTTCAGCTGTATGGTCAAGGCTACAGTGCAGGATGTGTAGTGGTAGTTTCAGCTGTATGGTCAAGGCTACAGTGCAGGATGTGTAGTGGTAGTTTCAGCTGTATGGTCAAGGCTACAGTGCAGGATGTGTAGTGGTAGTTTCAGCTGTATGGTCAAGGCTACAGTGCAGGATGTGTAGTGGTAGTTTTGAGCTGTACGGTCAATGTTACAGTGCAGGATGTGTAGTGGTAGTTTCAGCTGTATGGTCAAGGCTACAGTGCAGGATGTGTAGTGGTAGTTTCAGCTGTATGGTCAATGCTACAGTGCAGGATGTGTAGTGGTAGTTTCAGCTGTATGGTCAAGGCTACACTGCAGCTGTGTAGTGGTAGTTTCAGCTGTATGGTCAAGGCTACAGTGCAGGATGTGTAGTGGTAGTTTCAGCTGTATGGTCAATGCTACAGTGCAGGATGTGTAGTGGTAGTTTCAGCTGTATGGTCAAGGCTACAGTGCAGGATGTGTAGTGGTAGTTTCAGCTGTATGGTCAAGGCTACAGTGCAGGATGTGTAGTGGTAGTTTCAGCTGTATGGTCAATGCTACAGTGCAGGATGTGTAGTGGTAGTTTCAGCTGTATGGTCAAGGCTACAGTGCAGGATGTGTAGTGGTAGTTTCAGCTGTATGGTCAAGGCTACAGTGCAGGATGTGTAGTGGTAGTTTCAGCTGTATGGTCAAGGCTACAGTGCAGCTGTGCAATGATAGGCCCTTGTGAACTGAAGGTTTCAGTTGACGAATATCTCACCCTCATTAGTTCGTTGAGACAGGAGAGGTAGATCTTGAATATTGCACATGGAGAGGGGGGACCGATGTACTGCTTGATGTCTGCCCGGTCTACAAATGCCAAGTCTATAGCACCAGTCACATTAGATGTAGTAAGGATCAGCACATTGGGATGCCTGAAACAGAAGTCCATTCTGTTGAAAGGAGATTCCAGCAACATAAGACAACCTATATTAACAAGTCTCTATGGTCATGATTATTACAACAAAATCTTTTTAATTGATTTATATGTTCTTCAAAAACATATCACACATAAAATATACATGATACAGGAAGGGATTGCTGATTTATTTATGTTTTTATGATGGATAACAAGAATATAAATCTCTTGAAAATCAACACTGGATAGCTCATAACAACCTTACTTTTACTTCTCATTTTGAGATGTTCACAAGCCTCCAGCAGTCTGTGTAAACAATAATCTGTTTGAGTTATGGAATTCACAACTTTCTGTCTGTAGACCCTTGATCTGGTCAATCCGTGGCCTAGATTCTACATGGCATTATCATACCTCTTGATCTGGTCAATCCGTGGCCTAGATTCTACATGGCATTATCATACCTCTTGATCTGGTCAATCCGTGGCCTAGATTCTACATGGCATTATCATACCTCTTGATCTGGTCAATCCATGGCCTAGATTCTACATGGCATTACCATACCTCTTGATCTGGTCAATCCGTGGCCTAGATTCTACATGGCATTATCATACCTCTTGATCTGGTCAATCCGTGGCCTAGATTCTACATGGCATTATCATACCTCTTGATCTGGTCAATCTGTGTCCTAGATTCTACATGACATTATCATACCTCTTGATCTGGTCAATCCGTGGCCTAGATTCTACATGGCATTATCATACCTCTTGATCCCGTCAATCTGTGTCCTAGATTCTACATGGCATTATCATACCTCTTGATCTGGTCAATCTGTGTCAGGAGAGCGTTGACAACCCGTATAGCATCTGATGGCTCACTCCCTGACAGGGCACTCTTCCTGGCTGACGTCAAGCTCTCTACCTGCACAACATTGACAAGACCAGCTTCATGTAAAACACAGTCAGGTAAATACATCACCATTCTTTAATGCTTCATGTCAAGTATGATCAGCTTCATGTAAAACAGTCAGGTAAACATCACCATTCTTTAATGCTTCATGTCAAGTATGATCAGCTTCATGTAAAACACAGTCAGGTAAATACATCACCATTCTTTAATGCTTCATGTCAAGTATGATCGGCTTCATGTAAAACACAGTCAGGTAAATACATCACCATTCTTTAATGCTTCATGTCAAGTATGATCGGCTTCATGTAAAACACAGTCAGGTAAATACATCACCATTCTTTAATGCTTCATGTCAAGTATGATCAGCTTCATGTAAAACACAGTCAGGTAAAAACATCACCATTCTTTAATGCTTCATGTCAAGTATGATCGGCTTCATGTAAAACAGTCAGGTAAATACATCACCATTCTTTAATGCTTCATGTCAAGTATGATCGGCTTCATGTAAAACACAGTCAGGTAAAAACATCACCATTCTTTAATGCTTCATGTCAAGTATGATCGGCTTCATGTAAAACACAGTCAGGTAAAAACATCACCATTCTTTAATGCTTCATGTCAAGTATGATCAGCTTCATAAGACAATATTTACTTATATGAATAAATGCAATAAACTGTGTTTGTTTCAATATCTTGTGAAGTCTATGAACCATAACAGTTTTGGTCTTCAACTGCTGCCTTGCTCTCAGCCTGGACGTGTCCTCTTGGAGCCAGCTGTCAGGACTACAAGTGACAAAAACCCAGCTGGTCGTTGCACCCTGACTGTGTGGATCATTGCTCGTGTTACTGTGGCAGCCATTAAACTTCCATGTCCCTTGATGGGATCTGAACCACTGTCCTGATCCGAGGTTGGACTACTTGTTTACATGACCAAAGTGGTTAACCTCGCCAGCAAGCTGCCAAAGTAAGGATGTTATCTGCGGAATGACTCCGGGTCCTGCTACACTGTAACCACTGGGCTTGTTACTGGGTCCTGCTACACTGTCAACCACTGGACTTGTTATCTGCGGAATGACTCCGGGTCCTGCTACACTGTCAACCACTGGGCTTGTGCGGAATGACTCCGGGTCCTGCTACACTGTCAACCACTGGGCTTGTTACTGGGTCCTGCTACACTGTCAACCACTGGACTTGTTATCTGCAGGATGACTCCGGGTCCTGCTACCGGGTCCTGCTACACTGTCAACTACTGGGCTTGTGCGGAATGACTCCGGGTCCTGCTACACTGTCAACCACTGGACTTGTGCGCAATGACTCCGGGTCCTGCTACTGGGTCCTGCTACACTGTCAGCCACTGGACTTGTGCGGAATGACTCCCGGTCCTGCTACACTGTCAACCACTGGACTTGTTATCTGCGGAATGACTCCGGGTCCTGCTACCTGGTCCTGCTACACTGTCAGCCACTGGACTTGTGCGGAATGACTCCGGGTCCTCCTACACTGTCAACCACTGGACTTGTTACCGGGTCCTGCTACATTGTCAACCACTGGACTTGTTATCTGCGGAATGACTCTGCGTCCTGCTACCGCGTCCTGCTACCTGGTCCTGCTACACTGTCAGCCACTGGACTTGTGCGGAATGACTCCGGGTCCTCCTACACTGTCAACCACTGGACTTGTTATCTGCGGAATGACTCCGGGTCCTGCTACCGGGTCCTGCTACACTGTCAACTACTGGGCTTGTGCGGAATGACTCCGGGTCCTGCTACACTGTCAACCACTGGACTTGTGCGCAATGACTCCGGGTCCTGCTACTGGGTCCTGCTACACTGTCAACCACTGGACTTGTGCGGAATGACTCCCGGTCCTGCTACACTGTCAACCACTGGACTTGTTATCTGCCGAATGACTCCGGGTCCTGCTACCGGGTCCTCCTACACTGTCAACCACTGGGCTTGTTATCTGCGGAATGACTCCGGGTCCTGCTACACTGTCAACCACTGGACTTGTTATCTGCGGAATGACTCCGGGTCCTGCTACACTGTCAACCTCTGGACTTGTTATCTGCGGAATGACTCCGGGTCCTGCTACACTGTCAACCACTGGACTTGTGCGCAATGACTCCGGGTCCTGCTACTGGGTCCTGCTACACTGTCAGCCACTGGACTTGTGCGGAATGACTCCCGGTCCTGCTACACTGTCAACCACTGGACTTGTTATCTGCCGAATGACTCCGGGTCCTGCTACCGGGTCCTCCTACACTGTCAACCACTGGGCTTGTTATCTGCGGAATGACTCCGGGTCCTGCTACACTGTCAACCACTGGACTTGTTATCTGCGGCATGACTCCGGGTCCTGCTACTGGGTCCTGCTACACTGTCAGCCACTGGACTTGTGCGGAATGACTCCCGGTCCTGCTACACTGTCAACCACTGGACTTGTTATCTGCGGAATGACTCCGGGTCCTGCTACCTGGTCCTGCTACACTGTCAACCACTGGACTTGTTATCTGCGGAATGACTCCAGGTCCTGCTACCGGGTCCTCCTACACTGTCAACCACTGGACTTGTGCGGAATGACTCCGGGTCCTGCTACACTGTCAACCACTGGACTTGTTATCTGCGGAATGACTCCGGGTCCTGCTACCTGGTCCTGCTACACTGTCAGCCACTGGACTTGTGCGGAATGACTCCGGGTCCTCCTACACTGTCAACCACTGGACTTGTTACCGGGTCCTGCTACATTGTCAACCACTGGACTTGTTATCTGCGGAATGACTCTGCGTCCTGCTACCGCGTCCTGCTACCTGGTCCTGCTACACTGTCAGCCACTGGACTTGTGCGGAATGACTCCGGGTCCTCCTACACTGTCAACCACTGGACTTGTTATCTGCGGAATGACTCCGGGTCCTGCTACCTGGTCCTGCTACACTGTCAACCACTGGACTTGTTATCTGCGGAATGACTCCGCATCCTTCTACCGGGTCCTGCTACACTGTCAACCACTGGACTTGTTACCGGGTCCTGTTACACTGTCAACCACTGGACTTGTTACCGGGTCCTGCTACACTGTCAACCACTGGACTTGTTATCTGCGGAATGACTCCGCATCCTTCTACCGGGTCCTGCTACACTGTCAACCACTGGACTTGTTACCGGGTCCTGTTACACTGTCAACCACTGGACTTGTTACTGGGTCCTGCTACACTGTCAACCACTGGACTTGTTACCGGGTCCTGCTACACTGTCAACCACTGGACTTGTTACCGGGTCCTGCTACCGGGTGCTGCTACACTGTCAACCACTGGACTTGTTATCTGCGGAATGACTCCGCATCCTGCTACCGGGTCCTGCTACACTGTCAACCACTGGACTTGTTACCGGGTCCTGCTACACTGTCAACCACTGGACTTGTTATCAGAGTAATCCAGACAGGAGGCAGATTCTTCACTGTGACCCAAACATGTGTTACAGATAAAATTAGGATGATTGATCAATATGACTGACATCTTACCTCATCTATGAGAACAAAGACCAGGGATTCTGGATCATTGATGAGTTCCTGAATCTTCTGGAACATCTTCATCACCAGCTTCCCACTCTGCAACATTCAGTGATGATGTACACACACTGTGGCAATACACCACACTTCAAACAAAAAACTTGCAAAACCTTCAGTGGCACCTCACACTTGCTAAATTCTAAATAAAAAATCACAGTTGCAAAAGCTTATTTGGACTTCACAATTGCTGAGGCTGAAGTTGGACTTCAAGAACTCAGGACTGAGTTCTGCTTTACACTTGTCTTTCAAACTTGCTAAAACTTGAGCTGTAATCTGTTCTTGAGTAGCATCTTAAACTTGCTGAAGCTTATGTTGTACTTTAAACCTGCTATAGCTTATGTTGTACTTTAACCCTGCTGAAGCTTATGTTGTACTATAAACCTGCTAAAGCCTATGTTGTACTTTAAACCTGCTAAGGCTTATGTTGTACTTTAAACCTGCTAAGGCTTATGTTGTACTTTAAACCTGCTAAAGCTTATGTTGCACTTTAAACCTGCTAAAGCTTATGTTGTACTTTAACCCTGCTAAAGCTTATGTTACACGGTAGTTTAAACTTGGTAAAGCTTGTGTTATATTTTAAACTTGGTAAAGCTTGTGTTATACTTTAAACCTGCTAAAGCTTGTCGAGTTGTCTTCAAATCTCATGCAATATAAGTGGCAAGAATTAAGCATATCTAGATTGACAGAAACCTAAAGTACTGCATCTTAGTTGTCCAAGGTCCTGTGATTAGAACCGATTTTACCCTGATGACGTCAAAACACAAGGTGCAAAAAGGTTGTACCTATACTGAATTAGCTTACAATTGTACACATGTAATCCCTAACCTTCCTTTACTTGAAACCGCCCCCGTGGTGTAGTGCTTAGAGCGTCCGCCCGGAGAGCGGAAGGTCGCGGGTTCGATCCCAGGCCGCGTCATACCAAAAGACGTTAAAATATGGTACTTGTTGGTCCCTGCCTGGCGCTCGGCATTAATGGGTACAACAAGGACTGGTCGGCTCCGAGTCAGTATAATGTGTCTGAGTGGGGTATTCATGCTTCAATGCGGCATGGTATCTCAGTGGGCTAGCACTATAAAACCAGCTTAAGTCTGGGCTAGTACAAGCAGCCGCACATACACCTACACAAGCATGCACATTGCATATGAGCGAAATATTCTCAAGCAAGACGTTAAACCCAATTTCACCTCACCTCCTTTACTCGATTATACTAAATTCACCACCAATGTGAAATACACAAGTTAACAAATGTTCAGAATATTTCCGCTAACCTCTGAGAACCACTTGGAGAACAAACTGTGACTGTTGACCTCGATCAGCTGACCGTATGTGTATCGATCCGACAGTCTTATGGTCAGTTTCTGTGCTAGGGCCTTACAGAGCGATGTCTTTCCTGTACCAGGAGGGCCTACAGAGAAGAAAAATGTCCAAGATTATACACAAGAGAGAAAGAGACATAACCAGGAATAACCAAAATTCAAATCTTTGATCAGAGTTTTCAGGCATGTCCAAGGGATGCAACTCAACAACAAATTAAGGCGCCTTAGGTGACAATATGAATGTACTGACCATGAAGTAAAACCACTCTGTTCCAGGTGATGATGTTACTGTCCACTGCTCGGTCAGAGAACAGCAAGGTGGTTGTGGCATAGTTTAACAACTGAAACAAACATACATTGGCTAATATATTCAAATTCCCACGTCAGTCTCATTACTGACATTGGTTTGATTCTACATGCTTAAAGCTATTGATATTTGCTGGGATTATCAGGTTTGAGTTGGCATAAAAACAATGATGGTCCTTTTAGTCAGCGATTCAGCATTTATTTCTGTACTCAGCATGATGAGGGTAGACCCCATTGCTCCTATCCAGCAAGGCACTCGCATATCACCTCACATCACCATTATATACACCAGGCACTCGCATATCACCTCACATCACCATTATATACACCAGGCACTCGCCTATCACCTCACATCACCATTATATACACCAGGCACTTGCATATCACCTCACATCACCATTATATACACCAGGCACTTACATATCACCTCACATCACCATTATATACACCAGGCACTTACATTTCACATCACCTCCATCACCATTATATACACACCAGGCACTTACATTTCACCTCACATCACCATTATATACACCAGGCACTCGTGATATCACCTCACATCACCATTATATACACCAGGGCACTCAGCATATCACACCAGGCACTCACATCACCATTATATACACCAGGCACCTTAGGCATATCACCTCACATCACCATTATATACACCAGGCACTTACATATCACCTCACATCACCATTATATACATATCGTGATATCACCTCTCACATCACCATTATATACATCGCAGGCATATCACCTCACATCACCATTATATACACCAGGCACTTGCATTTCATACATCACCTCACATCACCATTATATACACCAGGCACTCGTGATATCACCTCACATCACATCACATATCACCTTCACCATATACACCAGGCACTTACATATCACCTCACATCACCATTATATACACCAGGCACTCACATATCACCTCACATCACCATTATATACACCAGGCACTTACATATCACCTCACATCACCATTATATACACCAGGCACTTACATATCACCTCACATCACCATTATATACACCAGGCACTTACATATTCACCTCACATCACCATTATATACACCAGGCACTTACATATCACCTATACTGGTTGATAATGGATAAACATAAGGACCACACAGTCTTACCGGTACACCGACATACCGCAATACGCTTTTCTAATGATACCATTGCAATACTTTTTCTGAGAATCAGATGGGTAATCAAATAAGCTGATGTTTCCTATCATAATTAATTGATATTACAATAGAGGGTTGCTGCTTTTTGTGCCTCTGTAGAATTTGAAGTTATTCATATATGCTGAAATTTTTATCTGGATATCGATAATATTTGTGAATGAAGGTGTTCAAGTATGTCAGGTTCTGCTGAATTGTTTAGGCATGTAAAGTTGGAAGTTTATTCAAATTCTCAAAAGCTAAAGCTAATACAGCATGTTCAATGCATCAAGTGATTCACCTTTGCCTTGACCTCTTCATCAAATACAAGACTGTCCCACACGCCATGGAAATCAGCAGACGGCAGGAGCCAGTGACTGGCAGCAGCCAGATCTTCATCATCGATCTCTTCCTGGCCGGGTCCATCTTCATGAAGTTGGAACACATGGATGTGGAGTATACACGAAGTCAGGTCGATAGCCTGGAACACAACAATTACATCAAGGTATATTCAACTCAGGTCGATAGCCTGGAACACAACAATTACATCAGGATATATTCAACTCAGGTCGATAGCCTGGAACACAACAATGACATCAGGATATATTCAACTCAGGTCGATAGCCTGGAACACAACAATGACATCAGGATATATTCAACTCAGGTCGATAGCCTGGAACACAACAATTACATCAGGATATATTCAACTCAGGTCGATAGCCTGGAACACAACAATTACATCAGGGTATATTCAACTCAGGTCGATAGCCTGGAACACAACAATTACATCAGGGTATATTCAACTCAGGTCGATAGCCTGGAACACAACAATTACATCAGGGTATATTCAACTCAGGTCGATAGCCTGGTACACTACAATTACATCAGGGTATATTCAACTCAGGTCGATAGCCTGGAACACAACAATTACATCAGGATATATTCAACTCAGGTCGATAGCCTGGAACACAACAATTACATCAGGGTATATTCAACTCAGGTCGATAGCCTGGAACACAACAATTAATAGGGATACATTCAAGTCAGACTCCAGTCTGTGCCACAATAGTAAGAGTAGCCCAAACTGGCTCTAAGCAATATTTCCAGTTGATTCCAAGAGTTCCAATAGAAGCTGTGTTAGGTTCAGCCCTCCACCAAGTATATAAACTTGATGACTGATGTCGTTAAACCCTGAGCATTTCAATTTTTTAACCACAGATTGTACATTTTTAAGTATTTATCCCATCTCACATTATGAACTTTCTGTTTTTCTTGCAACGACTTGTAGTAAAGTTGTCAGTCTAAAACACCTCACCCAAACACTCCCCAGAACCATCTATTGTTCTAGGCAGTCAAAGGTATCACACAAAGATGTGAAGAGAGAGATGGAAAACTGAAGGGTAAAGCAGTTATCTCCAGCAGGACTGGGTACAGGATTGATACACCACTGTGGTGTTGTCCAACTGAGTCAAAACAACTTTGATTCTGTCATCTACCAGTGTACCACTGAAGATGTCGATGGAGGGATGACGGTAAACAATCTGTCTGAGTAACAGGTGTATGAAGACCTGAATCAGCAATAGTTGACGGTGTCTCCTGACAGTGAGAGATTGAGCTGATGTAATCAGGTCCAGGAGCTCTTTGCACTGACGTAGAGATCACGCATGATAACAAACATCTCCCTTCAAATACGGCCACAATAAATTGAAGTCGCTGGGTCGGAAACAACTTCTGAAGATTGACGGTCCATCCCAGCTAATGGTACAATCTTGTGGTGAAACAAAGCCAATTCTTAGGCATCTGGGGGGACTGCAAGAGCTGGAATTCAGTCATCGTTGTATGTTGCAACAATGATCTTCCTCCGATGAAGGAACTGAGTGATAGGCTTCACGATGCAAGAAAAGAGCCACGGAGCCAAAGAGATGGCAAATGGGAGGACCTTCAGCTGGTAGTGTACTCCCTGGAAGATGAAACAAAAGAAAACGTGATGGGCTGGGAAGATTGGCACATGAAGATATGCATCATGGGGGATCCAGGCTGATCATAAACTCTCATGGCTTGATGATTATGCAAATGAGCGCAATGGAGACCATCTGGAAGTGCAGAAGAGGTTGTAGGTATCAGGCATAGAAAATCTTCATGTTAAAGATCATTTGCAACTAAAGAGTCCTTCTTCGAAATGAGAAAGATCAGAAACAAAGCCAGGGGTGTCAGGTGAGGGACCTTAACAACTATCACTGATTTCTGTAATAATATACCCAAGATTGATGTAGTGCCGTCAACTGGACCTCAAAATACTGACGATGAGCCGAGTTTCAGGGCAGGGGATTGACAGATTTCTGACCAAAGACTTGCTGAAACATCTCCCATGTCCCTGTAGACGTGAAAGGAGTCACAAAGATCAGAGTTCTGAGGGACAGTGGCGAAGAGAGTCTTGCATATGTATCTTCTGAAGCTTCAGGAGACCTGCCACTGGGCATCCTTCCCCACCTTACAAGAGACCATGCAACATAGGTTATATTTGGGATTACACTTTCTTAGTAAAGCACAGATTCTAGTACTTTTGTTGGGTTGAGCCCCATCCGGGACCTCTGCTTCTGATCACCAACAGATAACCATCTAAATGAATCAATTAAATAGATGAATGGTTCCGCTGCAGACAGAGCATCATCTGGATGTCCACATCAAATTGAGGCGAAGCAATCAAGGCGCCGATCCTATGTGAATTCTTTCTTAGAGAACCTCGGAGTCAGTAAACCATCTTGGTCCAATGGCTGTGTTGAGTGTAATACTGTTGAGATCCTTGTCCTTCATAATAAAGATGTAGCCATGTCAGTGGATGAGGAACTTTAAGATATTCCACATTCCAAATCAGTGTCCATGAGGGATCGATGTCCTTTATGCTGGCTCAAGGGGATGATAGGTTGTGACCCGGATCGATGAATGATCGGAGAGCCCAGGCTGCAAAGTAGTCGCAAGATGAAGGCAAAGATGAAGAACAAGGTGTTTAAAAAGGCTGAAAATTTTGTTCCCTGTTGTTTCCATTCCATGGTTGTAAGAACAAGAGAAAGTGCATTACATAAAATAGGATAAGTTTTAAAAGATTTATTAAATTTAACATGTACAAAAGATGTTTCAACATACCTTTCGACCTATGTCTGCCAGATCGGTATCACACAAAGATATTGACTTGACATGCTCAGTCAGGAAAGCATCATCGAACTCTGTCACAGTGAAGTCTCCATAAGCAACCTTCTGTTTCCTCAATGCAGCCAGTACGTGTTCTTGAACCAGAGACACTCTGGCAGTGCTAAAAGTTCATAGAGAAGTATCTGAAGTTAACCATGTTTAAACAAGCCTTCTTCAGCCTGCTTCCTCAAGTAGTCAGACCCCAGAACCCTGTGTATATTCCTGATCAACACACTGCCAGGTACACATGTGTGAGTGGAGGCTGCTACAGAGAGTTTTCTCATCTCTTTTGTGGCAAGTATGAACCAAACACAGGAATACAGGGTTCTGTAAGTGTTGTCAATCTGAATATGACTCTTGTTTTCTGTGACATGTGAGAAAAGCACCAAATTCCAAGTATGAGTGAATGAGTGCATATGGCTTAATGCTGTGACAGCAAGTTATCAGGTATTTGTGGTGAGCACACATGGAGAATGTTCAGTTATCATATTTTCATAGGGCTCACTTGTCTAGACATTTCATGCTCTAAATAAACAAAGGAAATCTGTGCACAGGTTCAGTTGTTCAGTTCAACCTTTGATATCTTAATGAATACACAATGCCTTTAAGAAACTGGTTAATATAACGAAATGGAAGTCTGACAGCTGGTAGTCTAGATCACTTAATTTGGATACAACCTCTGACTGTTTAAACATATGACAAAGGTAATGCTAACCCAGATAGTTAACAAACAGTGATATTGCATGTGTATCAGTGTATGCATTACGTTTTGGAAATTGATACAGAATGCCATGGACATAAATCCAATGATAGAAATTTCAAATGAAACTTGAAAGTCCAGGGATCCTTCTTATAACTATAATAAGCCTACTTTCAAAAATATAAACTTGTAGCAGTCCCTAAATTAAAACACATGTCCCATAGAGGAAGACGTCGAGTACCACTCAACAAGGTTCTCAGCTTATACCGGTATGTGTATTTTCCATGAGTTATAGGCTCTCTGCCCATCAAAACAGCATAGTTAATGCACAGGCCCTATGATGATGAGAACCTTGTTTAAAGAACCAATGGGCCTCCCTTAATTTAGACAAATTTGAAAGACATACCACATCATTCACTCAATAACCGACATTACCTGACATGATGAACAGGTGTATACTGTTATTATTGCACGGTGATCAATAATGACATCCCTGTTTGCTTCTAACGCATTGGTGAGTAAGCTAGCCTCTATGTACGACAGGAACCTTGTTAACAGATTTAGATTAGATAGGATAAGGAGTTGGTATAAAGATATTATACATATAGATGCGGGATAAACGTGCTCAGAAATATATATTCTATTGCAGTTGATCATATGTGCTGTGATTATGATTGGGATGTGTACTCATATTTATTCAATATATTACCCCCTAATCATTGTAAAAACTGTAAATTTCATTGAGTGGCATTTTAGGAGTTGGGAAGAGGTAAACAGATTTTAAGATAGCTAGGTTATCGAAATCAGAAATGTCACTTTTTCCATATAGAATTGTGTTTAAGCTGTACCCATTTTTGTAATATACCGCATCATTTCTTAACACAGCGTAGTTTGGACAGACAAGCAAATGAGAAGAAATAATGAGCAGAGTCTTCATAGTTGTGGCCACAAGAGCAAGATGATGTTGGAGATATAAATCTTTCATATTTGTGCGCATTAAGGTCACTACATTCAAATCGGAGACGAGAATGTAAGATTTGACAAAATCTGCTACCGAAATTTAAGTCAAAATGACTGTAGATATTAGAATCATTTAAAAGTACATTTTTGAATCTTGATAGGCACAGTGATTCTCTATGTTCAGCCGGTAATGAATTCCATAATATAACAGTATCTGGAAGAAAGGACCTCGCATAATTTACAGATTTACAGTTTATAGTCTGATGATTTGAATCACAGCGTAGATTATAACCAACGATATCTGATACTCTAGGCGGAACAAAGTTACTAAGGTAACTTGGCGTAGTGTTATTAACCATTTTGTAAAACATGGTCATTTTATGAAGGTACCTTCTAAAAGGTGAAAACTGAAAAAAGTTCTTAATCAGTAAATGAATAAACAAAACTCAACATGAACGCTTTTAGATAATATGTGTCAATAAATAATGTAAAACCTTTGTACACTTTTTTTCTGTTCGGCCCATATGACTATTAATAAGGCCCTTTTGACATGGCCCATTTGACTTTTTCCATCGGCCCTTTTGTCCTTCGGTCCATTTGACTATATCCCATTTTAGGGATGGGGATGTGGGATACTAATTGTTTGGAAAAGTAAACTGCATTACTCCTGTATCATTTGCTCAAATTACAATTGTTCTCTAAACATAAAACATTTCTTTTGATTACAACATACTACAGACAGAAAGAGGCCAGAATTCATTTGACCAGATGCAATTTATTCAATCTTGTTCACCAATCCCAATTCATTTTTTATGAATAAAAATAAGTTTAAACCATCTCTGTCAGTTGTGACTCTAAGAGGTAGTTGTGTTGAGGCTTGGGTAGGTTGTCGGCCTATTATTCACATTAAAGACCCCTTAATGATCCTTAGGTTTATCAAGGTTAAGTATTGTCTGTTGTCCACCAGTACACAGAGCCACACCCAGTAGTCCAGTAGCCCTGCTACAGATCAGTGAGTCAGTGTTGTCTGTTGTCCACCAGTATACAGAGCCACACCCAGTAGTCCTGCTACAGTCAGTGAGTCAGTGTTGTCTGTTGTCCACCAGGACACAGAGCCACACCCAGTAGTCCAGTAGCCCTGCTACAGATCAGTAAGTGAGTGTTGTCTGTTGTCCACCAGTACACAGAGCCACACCCAGTAGTCCAGTAGCCCTGCTGCAGTCAGTGAGTCAGTGTTGTCTGTTGTCCACCAGTACACAGAGCCACACCCAGTAGTCCAGTAGCCCTGCTGCAGTCAGTGAGTCAGTGTTGTCTGTTGTCCACCAGTACATAGAGCTACACCCAGTAGTCCAGTAGCCCTGCTGCAGTCAGTGAGTCAGTGTTGTCTGTTGTCCACCAGTACACAGAGCTACAACCAGTAGTCCAGTAGCCCTGCTACAGTCAGTGAGTCAGTGTTGTCTGTTGTCTAACCAGTACATAGAGCCACACCCAGTAGCCCTGCTGCAGTCAGTGAGAGTCAGTGTTGTCTGTTGTCCACCAGTACATAGAGCCCACCCAGTATCCCTGCTGCAGTCAGTGAGTCAGTGTTGTCTGTTGTCCACCAGTATACAGAGCCACACCCAGTAGTCCTGCTACAGTCAGTGAGTCAGTGTTGTCTGTTGTCCACCAGGACACAGAGCCACACCCAGTAGTCCAGTAGCCCTGCTACAGATCAGTAAGTGAGTGTTGTCTGTTGTCCACCAGTACACAGAGCCACACCCAGTAGTCCAGTAGCCCTGCTGCAGTCAGTGAGTCAGTGTTGTCTGTTGTCCACCAGTACATAGAGCCACACCCAGTAGTCCAGTAGCCCTGCTGCAGTCAGTGAGTCAGTGTTGTCTGTTGTCCACCAGTACATAGAGCTACAACCAGTAGTCCAGTAGCCCTGCTGCAGTCAGTGAGTCAGTGTTGTCTGTTGTCCACCAGTACATAGAGCAACCAGTAGTCCAGTAGCTCTGCTGCAGTCAGTGAGTCAGTGTTGTCTGTTGTCCACCAGTACACAGAGCTACAACCAGTAGTCCAGTAGCCCTGCTGCAGTCAGTGAGTCAGTGTTGTCTGTTGTCCACCAGTACATAGAGCCACAACCAGTAGTCCAGTAGCCCTGCAGTCAGTGAGTCAGTGTTGTCTGTTGTCCACCAGTACATAGAGCCACACCCACAGTCCAGTAGCCCTGCTGCAGTCAGTGAGTCAGTGTTGTCTGTTGTCCACCAGTATACAGAGCCACACCCAGTAGTCCAGTAGCCCTGCTACAGCAGTGAGTCAGTGTTGTCTGTTGTCCACCAGTACACAGAGCCACACCCAGTAGTCCAGTAGCCCTGCTACAGATCAGTGAGTCAGTGTTGTCTGTTGTCCACCAGTACATAGAGAGCCACACCCAGTAGTCCCTGCTGCAGTCAGTGAGTCAGTGTTGTCTGTTGTCGTAAACCAGTACATAGAGCTATAACCAGTAGTCCAGTAGCCCTGCTGCAGTCAGTGAGTCAGTGTTGTCTGTTGTCCACCAGTACATAGAGCTATAACCAGTAGTCCAGTGGCCCTGCTGCAGTCAGTGAGTCAGTGTTGTCTGTTGTCCACCAGTACATAGAGCTACAACCAGTAGTCCAGTAGCCCTGCTGCAGTCAGTGAGTCAGTGTTGTCTGTTGTCGAACCAGTACATAGAGCCACACCCAGTAGTCCAGTAGCCCTGCTACAGATCAGTGAGTCAGTGAGTCAGTGTTGTCTGTTGTCCACCAGTACATAGAGCTACAACCAGTAGTCCAGTGGCCCTGCTGCAGTCAGTGAGTCAGTGTTGTCTCTGTTGTCCACCAGTACATAGAGCTACAACCAGTAGTCCAGTAGCCCTGCTGCAGTCAGTGAGTCAGTGTTAACTGTTGTCCACCAGTAGACAGAGCCACACCCAGTAGTCCAGTAGCCCTGCTACAGTCAGTGAGTCAGTGTTGTCTGTTGTCCACCTGTACATAAAGCCACACCCAGTAGTCCAGTAGCCCTGCTGCAGTCAGTGAGTCAGTGTTGTCTGTTGTCCACCAGTACATAGAGCCACACCCAGAAGTCCAGTAGCCCTGCTGCAGTCAGTGAGTCAGTGTTGTCTGTTGTCCACCAGTACATAGAGCTATAACCAGTAGTCCAGTATGCTGCAGTCAGTGAGTCAGTTGTCTGTTGTCCACCCATAGAGCTATAACCAATAGTCCAGTGCAGTCAGTGAGTCAGTGTTGTCTGTTGTCCACCAGTACATAGAGCTATAACCAGTAGTCCAGTGGCCCTGCTGCAGTCAGTGAGTCAGTGTTGTCTGTTGTCCACCAGTACATAGAGCTACAACCAGTAGTCCAGTAGCCCTGCTGCAGTCAGTGAGTCAGTATTGTCTGTTGTCCACCAGTACATAGAGCCACACCCAGTAGTCCAGTAGCCCTGCTACAGATCAGTGAGTCAGTGTTGTCTGTTGTCCACCAGTACATAGAGCTACAACCAGTAGTCCAGTGGCCCTGCTGCAGTCAGTGAGTCAGTGTTGTCTGTTGTCCACCAGTACATAGAGCTACAACCAGTAGTCCAGTAGCCCTGCTGCAGTCAGTGAGTCAGTGTTGTCTGTTGTCCACCAGTACACAGAGCTACAACCAGTAGTCCAGTGGTCCTGCTGCAGTCAGTGAGTCAGTGTTGTCTGTTGTCCACCAGTACATAGAGCTACAACCAGTAGTCCAGTAGCCCTGCTGCAGTCAGTGAGTCAGTGTTGTCTGTTGTCCACCAGCACGCAGAGCTACAACCAGTAGTCCAGTGGCCCTGCTGCAGTCAGTGAGTCAGTGTTGTCTGTTGTCCACCAGTACATAGAGCTACAACCAGTAGTCCAGTAGCCCTGCTGCAGTCAGTGAGTCAGTGTTGTCTGTTGTCCACCAGTACATAGAGCTACAACCAGTAGTCCAGTAGCCCTGCTGCAGTCAGTGAGTCAGTGTTGTCTGTTGTCCACCAGTACATAGAGCTACAACCAGTAGTCCAGTAGCCCTGCTACAGTCAGTGAGTCAGTATTGACTGTTGTCCACCAGTACACAGAGCCACGACCAGTAGTCCAGTAGCCCTGCCGCAGTCAGTGTTGTCTGTTGTCCACCAGTACACAGAGCCACACCCAGTAGTCCAGTAGCCCCACTGCAGTCAGTGAGCCAGTATTGTCTGTTGTCCACCAGTACACTGAGCCACACCCAGTAGTCCAGTAGCCCTGCTGCAGTCAGTGTTGTCTGTTGTCCACCAGTATACAGAGCCACACCCAGTAGTCAAGTAGCCCTGCTACAGATCAGTGAGCCAGTATTGTCTGTTGTCCACCAGTCACGTAGAGCCACACCCAGTAGCCCTGCTGCAGTCAGTGAGTCAGTGTTGTCTGTTGTCCACCAGTACACAGAGCTTTAAACATATTTTATTCATTCAAGAAAAGGATTGGGCACAAGTTATCAAACTTAGAAAAGCCCTCTCCAGATAATTACACAATTCATCTTACAACAAAGTACACAAGTGACAGACATAGGCTAGGATATGTACAACAGATGTTAACTGAGAAAGCGTTTTGTTTGAGAGATATAGATATGTACATATTTGAAAACATTCTGGTTTTCAGTGATCATGGTGATTGAGAGACCTGCATTGCCATGTAAGATAAGATTAATATCAATCAGAGCCATACCCAGTAGTCCAGTAGCCCTGCTACAGATCAGTGAGCCAGTATTGTCTGTTGTTATAAGCTGTAAAGCCTGTTCACCAATCCCAATTCATTTTTTATGAAAAAAAATATGTTTAAACCATCTCTGTCAGTTGTGACTCTTAGAGGTAGTTGTGTTGAGGCTTGAGTAGGTTGTCGGCCTATTATTCACATTAAAGACCCCTCAATGATCCTTAGGTTTATCACGGTTAAGTTGTGAGGTTGGTTGTGGGTTAGCTATGTTTTCTTATTTAATTGATTCAGTGTAAATTGAGTAAAATCTGTAAATGTTTGGAGTTCGGTGTCTGTGGCAAACAGTGGGTGTTGATCACTTGGTAAACAAACACTGTTACTTGTCATAGAGGTAGTCGAGATTAAGTGTTGTCTGATAAGATTGGCTCATTAACATCTGGCAACGTGAGTTCAATTCTCCAAGGGACGCTAATTGAAATCCCAAAGAAAAAGTACGCCCGATAGTGTCTACTTCCCAGAGAAGAAAAAATGGCGATCACTCACCTACAAGGGTTTTGATGTACTTCAACATGAAACTTCGATGGACAAACAGGTGCACTCGGTAATGCATCGCCAATTTCAGAGACTTGATCCATAGATTAATTTATCCAAATATTGGTAACTTTAAAATGTCTCTGAACTATTACTTGCTGCCCAAAATAGCAACAGTCAACAGGCTAACAAACCGATGTTCACAACCTTCAAGATTTCATTTCACTGCATATACAGACATATATACAGACATCTGATCAACAACGACGTGCTTGTTGTTTTCATGGAATTAACAACGTTTCTTAAAATAAATTATTTGACGTTAAAATATTGATATGAAGACGTGTATTTTCCTTTCAAATCTGGCGCTCTGATACCTGCCATAAAGCAATACCTGCTGCCACAAATCAGGTGTGAATAGTTTGCGATATATGTAAATGGATTATTGTTGTAACTTTACGAACATCAGCAATATCAATCACTTTTTAGAGAAGAAATGTATGGTTATATGGTCAAGAACATTATAAGAAGGATAACCATGTGATATAATGACGTCTAAAATGAAAACTGCAATTTACGACAATAGCAAGGGAGCCTACTCGTCAGAACACATACTCCGAACCCTTTTATATTGCGCAGTGAATTTGTTTGATTTTACGTGTGCATCTTATACTGAGTCCATAAACTAAGAACGTGAAGAATGTTTCCAGTAAAAGCACCTAATACTAATCTTAAACAGCGTGTTTGGAATAAAAATTGAAATATCAGTGGTTTTGATTACAGGTTTGTTATCATTTAAAACAACTTTCCAGGTAATAGTTATTGAGTTTACTCAGGGAGCTTACGTACCGATCCCAGAACAAGTGCGGGAATACATCCCCAACATTCCGTCCCTCCTCGTCAAAGGGTGTAAGTTCGCCAGGTTGTGAGACATTGTGACTTGGCTGATCGCGTGTCATCAACACGATGTGAGAGGCCGCCTTGATACAGCTGTATAATGAGTGTATGCATAGTAACGCCATATATGTATTTCTAGGTTGTCAGCACCACACTGGTGCTCGTGCGTTTCGTGAAAGTGGGAAAGGTAGGAATTGCATTACTTCGGGTTTTCTCCCAGATGAATCTGATATATATCTGAATCCCGTCTACAGCCTCGATAACCAGACTCAGTATTACCAGGGATACTCTACAACCTTATATAGTCTCCCTGGTATTACATACCGTGAATGAGAGAGCCAATTTCAGACGACAGCAAAATGCAATGCAAGCTGGATTTGTCGTCTGATGTTTTTTAGCGGCATTTAGAAGTTTTTATAGATGACCAAGATATTTTATGGATTTAAGCTTCTTTATTCTTTCTTTCAAGTTGGATTTGACCACAACAATTACAAACGTTATCAAAACGTTACTTGGTTTACCCCATATATGCATATGGTCTTAGATTTTCATCAAATCTTGTGAGTTAGTTTCTTCTGGCAAGCGATGACAGGAGTTGGGTTTCATTTTACCAGTAAATGAATTTTTCCGAACTTCATTCTCCCCAAAGGGACGATATTCATAAATAGCTTAAATCTGTCCCTGAAACCCTGCAAACGCAAGTTCCAACACAACCAGCTGACATCAACTAAATCATCATGAATAACCAGATCTTGTTTGTATCACTTTGGCTACCATCAAACATGAGAGTAAATTATCTTTTACCTCACAATTACTGTTGAGGCAGACCGTATATCACGTACATAGTTTGTAATGTAAGGAATATAGAGATTAACACACGAGTGTGTTTTCGCATGGCAAGTATCATATATTAGGAATAAATACTGTTTTATGTCTGCATTTAGCGAGTATAATGCGGAAATCACTCGTGTAATGAGCAGTTTACAATATATCGTAATTCTTAAAGTATTGAATGTTTTAGACTTATTTTCACTCACTGACTTAAGTTAGACACCCACACCGCGTATAAATACAGTACCTAGTCGTCTTAGGCTACGCTTTGCTGTGCGCCGTCGCATAATTGTGAAACCCTTCAGCGTGGGTTCGAACCCAAGATTTTCCATTTTATGTTTCGAAGTTTCTCAAGATCATACCTATACCTCACTGCAATTGTAGATATGTAATTGTAATTGTAGATATGTAATTCCGACCTGTATCATCCCTGACGTTCTCTGCACTTCAAGATGACACGCCGTGATGTGATTGTAATAGTGTTTGCGTAAAACTCACTCACTCAAGCTACACAATCGCAAACCAGTACCTTAAGTGCCTACCTCAACAAACATATGTTACAATCAACTTGTACAAAATCTGAATATCTTCACCGTTTACAAAACGCCTAAACATTTCAGTTATTTAACAAGCTGAAAACTCTGCTCATATGGTTTATTAGAACAGTTTTCTCATATTTAATTTCATCAACCAGTGACTGAAGGGACAGAACGAAACTGATTAAAATGCACGATACACGTCGTTATAAGACCACGTTGTTATCAGCCAACTCAAACTGTACTTTGTTTATCAGTTTATAATTACTATGATTACACACTCTATTGCATATACACATATCATTAATATTCGGCATTGTGCACAGACGGACATTGAAAGTTACAAGCAGACTGGTAGTCTTTAACTGTAAGCAAAGAGATGTGACCTACTTCGCGCACTTATTTTGCATCTCTTCCAAAGATTTAGTTAGGTAACACAGCGCATTTTGCACTTAATTCGTTAATGCCATGCACCGTTTGACTATCACGCTGTTCTGAATCACGACCACAAACTACCAGGCCGCCAACAGCTGATCGACGCTTCCGTGTGGCAGTCATATGACTGGTCACGTGACCGTCAGTATGGCAGATAGAACTCCCACCATGGCCGGTGGTGGAGGCTTGGCAGATTACACAATTGTACTTTGAAACGTGACGGTAGAAAACTTGGGATTTCCCTGTGTCAACTGACCAAAGTCCAGATTCACCGTGGCTTCGACATCATGAGCGAAAGTTCGACTGGCGAAGGTAGGTCATAGGACTTTGCCTGACTTGACTTATCGAGTTGAGCTGCAGAGAGTTGTGTAGTAGATGTTTTCTTCGTACAGTCCGCGACTGCTCAGCGTTATCAATCTAGATCACATACTTCGCGACGCGGACACACTATGTCATGGTGGAGAATAACCTTGGAAATGATATCGCTGTGAAACATATTAAAATCAAAGGACAGAGCGGCCAATATTGCGTACCGTATCTCGTTGTTTACATGTTCAGTTCCATCATGTGTTGTCATGTGTGACTTACAGCAATAGATGGTGGATTACAAATACCACGAAGGTTCATTAGCGATGTTTGGTGATATTTCACGGTCAGTGAGCGTAGTTAATAGGTGGAACTAAAACACACCACTTATCATCTACCTGTTGACAGCGACTGATTGACTGGGTTACACAAGGTTACGGTGTGGGTGGAGGTCTGTGTCGGGTCATGACCCCACGTGATTACAGATGACGCCAGCGTGGATGGGGTAATTTTACACGGAAACTTTTTATTAAGGGAATGAACCGAAACCAGATACAATGAATATGACACTGTTGCTTCCCAATGTGGACCAGCAGACGTTTTTCTTGTGGTAGATCTAATTTGTTACAGTGTTTGGCCTAAGGCAGAGATCGATGTGCATTTCAAAGTCTAGGCTTGTGAGAGTGATCCCTGTGTACAAAGATGAGCAAATAATGAAAAACTTGTTAAACTCAAGAAATATCAATGTAATATATTATCTGTTTCAATATTCCTAAAGAAGATGTTTGAAATCTGATGTTAACATGTGTTTGTATATTTATATTTCCATGTTATTGTACAATATCAAAAAAACCACAACTGTACTGTAGGTCATATGGCCTGAAATATTGAATGAAACTTCTTCTTCTATGATTAATATGTGGACTGTTATTGGCCTCACCTATACCGAGGAATATTTCACTACATTTCTCCTTTGGACTAGTGAATGAAACTGCAAACATGGCGACAAGATCAACACAGGAACACTGTTAGACACTCCATCATGATCTCCAGACAAATAAAACAATACAGGTATGATCTAATTTCTTTGGGGGATGCTTCTGACAAGATACATCCTGCCATTTCTGTAAGGGAATTATACTGAAAACTGTCCAAGGAGAATTTAGTTCTAACAGTTTGTGATAGTATGTAGTTGTTCCTGATACTGGTTTACTCAGTGTCCAATCAAGAGATTGCCATTGCTTCTGCCTCACAAGTGACATACAAGTGCCTCCATGGTTTGACTCCCTCCTACTTGTCTGAGCTCCTACATCCGTATGGCCCCGCATACAGCTTGTACTCAAACACACAAAATCTGCTGGTCATCCCATCCTATAAACTGAAATCCTTTGGATACCGATAATTCTTTTACTCTGAATATTCTTTTACTCCTAAATATCCTGGTTATACTGCACCTGTGCTTTGGAACTCTCTCCCTTGTGCCATTAAAAGCTCTGGCACAATTGACATTTTTAAGTCCAGACTTAAAACCCACCTTTTCTCAGTATATTACTTATAATTTCAGCTGTAAATACTCCACTGTAAATATTCTGTAGCGGTTTGAGCATGCCTTAGGGTGTGGAATAGGCGCATTATAAATATGCATTTATTATTACTAAATGATGCGAGAGTTGTCACCCACATGCTGTATTTTGGTGTATGGTTCCCAAGTAGAAAGAACCTGTTCTCTTGACCTAACATTCACCTGTGACATGAACATTTGTCAACATGTTGCTCTAAATGCATGTCACCATAATTGCCCTTCACATTACAATACAGAGCAGCTCCCAGACAAGCTTGGTTGTGAAGCTTGGTGGATGCACAGGTGAAACCAGGGTTACTGTTTGGTTCAAGTGTGTGTGTGTGTGTGTGGGTGGGTGGTGGGGGTGGGTGGGGTGTGGGTGTGGGTGTGGGTACAGCCGTGCCATTTCCCACCCGATACTGAACTTTATGTAACTACAATGCTGTTAATGTACAGAACCAGTTGTATGTAAGGGCACTGAACTCATCAAATAGACAATTGGAAGTTGTCACACCTTTTATCACAAGATATTTGACCCTGTTCTGTCCTTCCAATCTGTTCAAGGTGAACAAGATAAGGAGACTGCCATTTCATATTTTCCACAAACTTGCCAATTGGACCACTTCTGCTATTTTTCCTAGGGGACTGACTCCATTAAGACGAACATTTGTCTGGTCAACCATCATGTCCGTTGACACCAGTCTGTAACAGTTGTAATCAGACGATATAAGTGGCAGTTAAAAAAGCAACATGTTACATTCAACAACTTCAGTTTCCTCCTCTTAGAATGTTTCATCATCAAGTAATACTTGATGTAAAGCGTTGTGTTTTCATGCTTTGATATGCGAGATGCAGTTGATGTTTGCCCTGATGTTGATGAGGAAGCAACACTCCGATGTTTTTGAAATGTCCAGGGATGGGAGGAGATTGCTAGGAAGAGTTCCTGAGTACAGAGGGGAAGTATGGATGTATCTATAAGAGTACACTTGATTCACTATGTATAGGAGGGTACATGACACTTATGGCATCAATTAGTTCTCATAAAAATTCTCATCAATAATGGCAAATATAGTAGTATTTCGTTTTGACTTGTCAAACATATGGTGTAGATGAGAGCAGGGCCCCGTTCCTCAAAGCGATCGTAGCGCTACGACAGTCGTAAGTCTATGTTAAAGTATGGGAGTTACGACTGTCGTAGCGCTACGATCGCTTTGAGGAACGGGCCCCAGGACAATTGCCACCCGGACAATTGCCACCTAGGACAATTGCCACCCAGTTATTTTTACTATTATAGTGAGGACAATTGCCACCTGGAATTTTAAGGGAATTTTATTTGAGAAAATGAATACAGGTTGTCAATAAACACAACTTTAGATGATGAACTGAATGGAACATATGATGTCCTCCAAACTTAAAAGTAGGAATGCACACAGCTGCAACCAACCGTGAGGCAAATATGATACATGTCATGATTATTGGTTAACAATGATGAATATTGGGTAATGAATATATTGACAAGCCAGCAGCTGGTGTATTATTCAATATATTCAGTGAAGTAATAGCAAAATATATGTTTGACATGTTTGACCATATTGACAGCGTTACTTTATCACAACAATGACCAACACCTAAATTCTAGTAAAAACCGTTCTCTGGAAAATAAATCATGAATGTTGGATTCTAGCAATCTCAAATAATGAATTGAATTCATAAAGGGAAATGTTTCGATTCACCGAATAATACCCACTGTGAGTCTTACTGGAAGCAATCTGTGGGACCTGTTTTTGCCTACATATGGAATGTAAACTGGACATTCATAAGGAATCATTAGAGGTACAGTAGCATAATCAAGGATATCTGGATTAAAGTTGCTTAACCAATCCCAGATTAGCTGGGAGTTATGTCCAGTGTCAGGCTATACAGTGTATGCCCTTGGGCTGAATGTCGTGCTGTAACTGTATGCCGACAACCCAGGGACCTGTGTCAGGCTCTACATGGAGGCCAGTGTATGGCCTTGGGCTGAATGTTGTGCGGTAACTGTATGCCGACAACCCAGGGACCTGTGTCAGGCTCTACATGGAGGCCAGTGTATGGCCTTGGGCTGAATGTCGTACTGTAACTGTATGCCGACAACCCAGGGACCTGTGTCAGGCTCTACATGGAGGCCAGTGTATGGCCTTGGGCTGAATGTCGTGCTGTAACTGTATGCTGACAACTCAGGGACCTGTGTCAGGCTCTACATGGAGGCCAGTGTATGGCCTTGGGCTGAATGTCGTGCTGTAACTGTATGCCGACAACCCAGGGACCTGTGTCAGGCTCTACATGGAGGCCAGTGTATGGCCTTGGGCTGAATGTCGTGCTGTAACTGTATGCCGACAACCCAGGGACCTGTGTCTACATCAGGCTCTACATGGAGGCCAGTGTATGGCCTTGGGCTGAATGTCGTGCTGTAACTGTATGCCGACAACCCAGGGACCTGTGTCAGGCTCTACATGGAGGCCAGTGTATGGCCTTGGGCTGAATGTCGTGCTGTAACTGTATGCCGACAACCCAGGGACTTGTGTCAGGCTCTACATGGAGGCCAGTGTATGGCCTTGGGCTGAATGTCGTGCTGTAACTGTATGCCGACAACCCAGGGACCTGTGTCAGGCTCTACATGGAGGCCAGTGTATGGCCTTGGGCTGAATGTCGTGCTGTAACTGTATGCCGACAACCCAGGGACCTGTGTCAGGCTTTACATGGAGGCCAGTGTATGGCCTTGGGCTGAATGTCGTGCTGTAACTGTATGCCGACAACCCAGGGACCTGTGTCAGGCTCTACATGGAGGCCAGTGTATGGCCTTGGGCTGAATGTCGTGCTGTAACTGTATGCCGACAACCCAGGGACCTGTGTCAGGCTCTACATGGAGGCCAGTGTATGGCCTTGGGCTGAATGTCGTGCTGTAACTGTATGCCGACAACCCAGGGACCTGTGTCAGGCTCTACATGGAGGCCAGTGTATGGCCTTGGGCTGAATGTCGTGCTGTAACTGTATGCCGACAACCCAGGGACCTGTGTCAGGCTCTACATGGAGGCCAGTGTATGGCCTTGGGCTGAATGTCGTGCTGTAACTGTATGCCGACAACCCAGGGACTTGTGTCAGGCTCTACATGGAGGCCAGTGTATGGCCTTGGGCTGAATGTCGTGCTGTTACTGTATGCCAACAACCCAGGGACTTGTGTCAGGCTCTACATGGAGGCCAGTGTATGGCCTTGGGCTGAATGTCGTGCTGTAACTGTATACCGACAACCCAGGGACCTATGTCAGGAAGATACAACACCCTAAAGTTTAGAAAAATTGAAAAGAGTTGAATGCTATCCTTGATGATAAATACTCTTGTTTGAAAATGTTTGTGTTTGTTTCAAGAGGTTGATAAAAGGAATTGTCCCAAATACAACTGTTGCCTTAGTTTTTTCTGTTTTGCAATTTGGCATCTTAACCAAAAACATGTAAAACTAGAAAACTTTTCTGTCCAGGCTAATCATGGTGAGTGTGGCATTCCATCACAGTGATTAGGGTGCAGTGATTAGGGTGAGATTAGGGTGCAGTGATTAGGGTGAAGTGATCAGGGTGAGATTAGGGTGCAGTGATTAGGGTGAGATCAGGGTGCAGTGATTAGGGTGAAGTGATCAGGGTGAGATCAGGGTGAGATTAGGGTGCAGTGATTAGGGTGAGATCAGGGTGCAGTGATTAGGGTGAAGTGATCAGGGTGAGATCAGGGTGCAGTGATTAGGGTGAAGTGATCAGGGTGAGATTAGGGTGCAGTGATTAGGGTGAGATCAGGGTGCAGTGATTAGGGTGAAGTGATCAGGGTGAGATCAGGGTGCAGTGATTAGGGTGAAGTGATCAGGGTGAGATCAGGGTGCAGTGATTAGGGTGAAGTCGCTTGGGGAGGAGGGAAGGGGGTGGTTCAAAGGTTTTACATGAAACTTTTCAGCGGATTTCACCATTTACATTAGTAACTAAAGACTTCTTGTCGACTAATTGTCGATGTTAGCGGAACGGGGATGGCATCTGTGTTACCGTGAGTTGAGTAAAGTAGTGGACAGCTTCACATTCTCACAACCTGTCTACTGATCCTACTGATGTGAAAGTTCTCCTCCTCCTTGTGTAAAACTACTCTACCGCTGACATCCTCATCACTCACTTTATGCATGCCACAGAGTTCTTTCTTTCAAGTTTGGGAAGAGGTGGAAATATGAATAAGGAAATCATGGTGAAAACAGAATTTTCAATGAGTTGAAAGCCACAGTCATACATTGCAGCCAGTAGTTGCAACTGATCCGTGCACACTTGTCCTGGTGGACCAACATACCCTTGGTGTTCACAGCAAAACTTTGGTTATTAATTGTCTGAACTGCGGGAGGTAGTCCTCCAGCAGGATTCCCAAAAATCTTAGGAAACCTTTCTGATGGAACAGACATGTTTCAGCTGGATTGCTCTTTAGTCTCTTGGTGGTCAGCCCAAGGCTTGTCCTGGTTAAAAATTGTTCCACAAATCACTTGGCTCTGATTCACAACTACATCAACAGGAACGATGATCAGCATTTCTGATCAGGAGTTAGAAGTCTTCAAACCCAGAGTGCTTAAACTTTTGTCATGCCCAGTTTATTCCTCAAAATGTTCTCAACTCTGTCTTGAGAGAAGCATAGTGTGTTGGCTTTGTGGTGAGTCGTCTAGGACCCATAATCATATCATATACTTCATCACCGTTTTCCTTAGTGGTGGAAGTTGAAGGTCTCATTTTTGCCTCCTGTGCTCATCTGCCCACAGTAACAACAGCCAAGGAAGGAGTGTCATCCCCTTCTGTCTACAGGGATGGCTGTTGCAGATATTTCATAGAGGTAAGAACAGCCAAGGAAGGAGTGTCATCTCCTTCTGTCTGCTGGAGATACTTCATGGCAGTAAGAGCAGTCGAGAAAGGAGCGACATCCCCTTCTGTCTGCAGGAATGGCTGTTGGAGATATTTCATGGCAGTAAGAGCAGTCAAGGAAGGAGCGACATCCCCTTCTGTCTGCAGGGATGGCTGCTGGAGATACTTCATGGCAGTAAGAGCAGTCAAGGATGGAGTGTCATCCCCTTCTGTCTGCAGGGATGGCTGCTGGAGATACTTCATGGCAGTAAGAGCAGTCAAGGAAGGAGTGTCATCCCCTTCTGTCTGCAGGGATGGCTGCTGGAGATACTTCATGGCAGTAAGAGCAGTCAAGGAAGGAGTGTCATCCCCTTCTGTCTACAGGGATGGCTGCTGGAGATACTTCATGGCAGTAAGAGCAGTCAAGGAAGGAGCGACATCCCCTTCTGTCTGCAGGGATGGCTGCTGGAGATACTTCATGGCAGTAAGAGCAGTCAAGGAAGGAGTGTCATCCCCTTCTGTCTGCAGGGATGGCTGCTGGAGATACTTCATGGCAGTAAGAGCAGTCAAGGAAGGAGTGTCATCCCCTTCTGTCTGCAGGGATGGCTGCTGGAGATACTTCATGGCAGTAAGAGCAGTCAAGGAAGGAGGGACATCCCCTTCTGTCTGCAGGGATGGCTGCTGGAGATACTTCATGGCAGTAAGAGCAGTCAAGGAAGGAGCGACATCCCCTTCTGTCTGCTGGAGATACTTCATGGCAGTAAGAGCAGTCAAGGAAGGAGTGTCATCCCCTTCTGTCTACAGGGATGGCTGCTGGAGATACTTCATGGCAGTAAGAGCAGTCAAGGAAGGAGCGACATCCCCTTCTGTCTGCAGGGATGGCTGCTGGAGATACTTCATGGCAGTAAGAGCAGTCAAGGAAGGAGTGTCATCCCCTTCTGTCTGCAGGGATGGCTGCTGGAGATACTTCATGGCAGTAAGAGCAGTCAAGGAAGGAGGGACATCCCCTTCTGTCTGCAGGGATGGCTGCTGGAGATACTTCATGGCAGTAAGAGCAGTCAAGGAAGGAGGGACATCCCCTTCTGTCTGCTGGAGATACTTCATGGCAGTAAGAGCAGTCGAGAAAGGAGCGACATCCCCTTCTGGCTGCTGGAGATACTTCATGGCAGTAAGAGCAGTCAAGGAAGGAGTGTCATCCCCTTCTGTCTGCAGGGATGGCTGCTGGAGATACTTCATGGCAGTAAGAGCAGTCAAGGAAGGAGTGACATCCCCTTCTGTCTGCAGGGATGGCTGCTGGAGATACTTCATGGCAGTAAGAGCAGTCAAGGAAGGAGTGTCATCCCCTTCTGTCTGCTGGAGATACTTCATGGCAGTAAGAGCAGTCGAGAAAGGAGCGACATCCCCTTCTGTCTGCTGGAGAT